AGTCAGCGCGTACGCGTAAGGCACCTTTCTCAGAGCGCGCCTGTCAAGACCGTGGAAAAGGTCATCGAATGGCAGGGACTTTCCCACGACAGAGAAAGGAAGTCAGACCGTGGGAAAGCGTCCGCCGAAGCAGACTTCCTACGATAGCGAAGGCAGCCAGACGTCGAGAAAGGTCATTGAATCGGAGGTTTCCCACGGATAGGAAGAGCCAGGACCGTGAGAAACGTGCAGTAAACCAGAAGCCATATTGCACTTCACTGGAGACTGCCCCTGATGCGTTGGGCAGCAGCAAATTTCCGACTAGAAGCTCCTCCAGCTGCCACTGAGGTGGTAGTGCCCGTGCTCGATTTTACTACTTCATGATGAGCGCCCACAGTAGAGTTGAAACGTCTCTCCTCGAACCATCCCGAAGCGGAGTCCACTTCCCTCTTCATGCCTCCAAACAGCCACTTGTGATTGCGTAACCCAACGTCGGCGGTTGCATTTACGTTGCGACATACCAGCTGCCCTTCCGTCAATTTCCATCTCGCACCCCGAACCTTCCGCATGATCGGCGCGCGGTCCCTTCCTGAAGTGCCCACACATTCGCCGCGGTACGAAGGACGCTCCCACTAGAACCTTAAACAAGGTTGTGGCCGGACATTGCAGCCTGGCGTTTCCTTTGACCTTCACCTTGCCCATGGCGCGCAGCCGAAAAACGCAGTTGCGAACACCGTGACTCATGAAAGTTACAGTTCTCGGAAAAAGGAATCCTTTCGGCCGCATGAACGTAGACCCTGCGTCTCGTCAATGGTCAGTGCGGCACGCTCGGCCAACATATAAGCCTCAGAATACGAAGTTTCAGCCAGATTTTGGGGAAAACAGTCTATTGTGGCCGCCAACATGGCGCCAAAGCCGGCCGCCAGAATGACACCAGCCATCAAAACATGAATGTCATTTTCGTTAATCAGGGCATCGAATTACCCCAATAGACAAAGTTTCGACGAAAAATGAAACTTTGAGATTTTGGGGTAGTAATCGTGGGTCCAATCCGGCAGATGGGGAAGGCTGAAAACGGTGAAAAACCAAAGTTTCAACTGGGGAAGTAATGCATATCATTCGATACCATTTTTCACGGGGAAGTTAACGGGGCACATTTCAGGTCTGCGAGTTCATCTGGAAATGCAAAAAATCCGAACTTTTCACAAGGGCATGACGAGGAGGCATGTTTGAGGCTACACCACGGAAGGAACGCTCACTTGCAACCGTGTTTTCCACATAATTCCTACAGACAATTGACCGTAGTCCACGGCAGTGAAGAAAATTCTTCGCTTTCTTTGCAGCTTTCTACAAAACATTCCTCTAAAAATGGGACTTGTCCGTAATAGGGGGCAAAGGCATGACAAGGGGTGATGTTTGGGGTCACACCACGGAAGAAACGCCCACCTGCGACCAAGGTTTCCATATACTCCTTACAGAAAAGTGACCGCAGTCTAGGACAGTAAAGGAAATTGTTCGCTATCTTCACAGCTTTCCGCAAAACATGTCCTCTGAAAATGGAAAATGTCGTATAATAGGCCCACTATGCCTGCCGAGAACTCATCAAAAATTCCACCTGATATACAGAGGATGGGATATTGAGAGCAGAGGGAACACGTAAAGCTAGTCAGCGCTTGAAAACGAAATGAAGATCTAAGAATTCGGAAAATAACATTCATCTAATCTCACAATGTAGTGGATGAGATTGAGTTCGTGGCGCATTCTGGAGTAATTTTTGAGGCCCTTCTTTGTGTGTGGCGGTTAGCCCGCATAAGCGGGATTATATACACATCACATGCGAGCTTTTTGAGATGAAAGTCGAGTGCATGGCGCATTCCGAAATCAAGCGTTATGAAAATATTTTAGCACCATCTTGTAGCGCTTGAAGAGCTGAGTTCAACGGTGTTTTCCGTTTCTGGAATACTTCACTCTGACCCGACTTATAACGAATTCAACGAAATTAACGAGGATTCGCGTTATTCGCGTGAATTTTCGATTTCAAACGCGAGTTACCGTGTTAGAAGGGGGAGGAGGTGGCTAAGTGAGTATACATGGAACTAGTACAATCAACTTCAGTTTCTGTGTCACAAATGTCTCAAAGAGAGAGAATACCCTATTCGGCTGAGTCAAAAGACCCTGTGTGGCAGTGTCGAACTCCAGTTGTAGCAGCGCGACGAATTCCGTGATTGCTTCGCGTTGCTTGCGTGTGTTATCGGCAAATCGAGCAATCTTCTCCAGAGCGACACGGACAGGACCAAAATCAGCGTCGTTAATCCCTTCGGAAAGTTGCCATTCTACGAGTCGTGTAAGAATCTAAACACTATAGATTACTTCAGATCATAAAGAACTTTTCAAATGTGTGAAAGTTACCGGTCGCCAGCCTACTATGCGATGAAGAATTTTTAGTAAAATCCAGTTCAGTGGAATGTAGCATTGGCTTGAATCTTCGAAATTCCTGAAAGGAACTGATCCGAATAAATAAAGACGTATTTCACAACAACATGATGGGATGAATTAGGAATGAAGAAAATCAGGGATATAACGCCGAAACACCGGGGATAAAAAATTCCTTTCCTATTTGTAAGAGGTGACCATTGCTGTGAGGAAGAAAGAATACGGGTGCTGAGGACAGGTAAGAGAGAAGGAGAGGGAGAGAGCGCGTCGAAGGTCGCGAGAGGCAGACACCCCGCCGTATTCCGTTGCTTCGCTAGCATCAGGAGTGGTGGTCAGTGATCATCAGGAGTGGTGGCCATGACAAAGCCTAGCTCCCTCCTCAAACGCGCACTTTCAAGCCGAAAGACGGAACATCTTGTTATTTTGTGGAGCTCCATCCTGTTACATAAGGGATTGATACATGACGAACCAAAGCAAGTGGGACGGGCACGCCCATTTTTTGAATAGGACATGCGCAAAATGTATGTATGTGGGGATGCTGCCCGCATCTGATATTGTAAGGCCTAAGCCAGGTTCAGAAAGTCAAAGAATAAAATGGACGATTCACGATACAGTATGCAGCTAATGTTGCAAATCGCCGAAATAAGGCTAGAATGGAAGAGAGTGGAGCTGGAGTACGTGCCGGTCTGCTCTACCCCCGCCAACCTGGGGCTCAGCCGCTGAGAAGCGTCCATCTTCCACCTACGGTCCTACATAATATTCTCCGTAGTATCCCTTATTTCCTGTAGCTGTCTATTAGACAACAAATCTGATCTTTTTAGCTGTGTGTTGTAATTTCTAAGTTATACGAGAAACACAACTAGCATTAACTATCATATACATTTACACCAGTTGGCGCCGCACGCGTTGCGCGCACAGCACAGTTTTGCGGCGATAAAGGATGGTGCGGCGTGAATTTTCGAATTTGGCCCAATACACTTCGAATACTTGACTTTCAAGCTGGATTCTATCCGACTGCCCATGCTTCATGCACCGACAGTTTTTGAGCTCCCCTCCTATCTCCATCAATCGACCGTAATCGCCAACCATTCCGCTTTCCCGGCCTCGAAAGGCCTTCGGACCGATTTATGATCCTCTTGGTGAACTCCGCCTATTTCTTTGCATGTCCCACCTATCTTTTTCTTCCTCGCCAACCTTTTCCACTTTTTAATCGATCTCTGAACTATCTCTGAGCCGATGTATAATTTTGGCGGCGAATCCTGCTTTTTTGGTGTATCTTCCGCACACCATTAGAAATTCGCTTCCCTTCCTTTGCTCACTTCTGTCCTGGTCTCCAGCACTTCCTGCAGTTGAGTCACAAAGTTTTGTGAAGAACTCCACTGCTCCACCCACTAAAAGTAGTTGGGCCCACTCCTTCACTCACCTCTACTCACCTTTTTCCTGGTCTCTGGAACTTCTTGGAACCGAATTATGAATTTTCGTCGCGAACTCCGCCCACTTTTGTCATGCCACGCCTACCAATAGCAGTTGTGCTCCATTCCTTCATCACCTCTATCGTCTCTTTTGGTCTCCAAGACATCTTAGAATCGAGTTATGAATTTTCGTCGCGAACTCCGCCCACTTTGGGCATGCCCCGCCGACCATTAGCTTGGGCTCCACTCCTTAACCCACCTCTATCCACCTTTTTCCGGCTCACTAAGACTTCTCCGGCTCGAAATTATGAGGATCTGCAGAAAACGCTGTACACTTCAAAGCGCGCCCGCCCATTGTGGGTGGACCTCCGCTAACGTCGTGTATGCTGGGAGCACCTCAGACCAGGGTCAACCGTCACGTTCGAACATTTTCGGGGTTTTTGCGAGCCCCTAGCTCTTGAGGGAGTCCAGTTGCAACCCCCTGTTTTTGTTAATAAGAGTGTTAGACATGAATCCGTTGCGTCAGAAAGCGTCGGCGCCGCCGCCACAGAGCGACTGCGTTGCGGCGGCAGCCTTGGAGCGCGGCAGGTATCACCCGGGCGCTGGAAGAACGGAACGCGGCGAAGAAAAAATTTTAGAGGAGAGTAACTTTCTTGGGACGTATTTATTTTATTTATCGAGGTAGATTTGAACTGTGCCTGAGGTGCGCTTACAGAAAATCACGAGGATTACCTAACTCCCCCGAAAGTACTTCAGTTAAAGGTGGAAAATCTAAAATTCTGAGAAGGCGCACCTCCAACTTTGAAGGCCCATAAAATCTTTCGTATGCGACATTTTGGAAAGCTGTAAAAAGTCTCAGAAACTTCAAATCTTTCTCTAACAAAACGGTATAAAAAGTTTAGTGATTGTCCCCTTTTTCAAAAAATTGTCCCGTTCGAACATTTTTCGTGCAAATGCGAGTTTTTGGGCTTTCAGCGACCATAACTCACTTCATCTTTCAGTTTTCTGTGATCACTTTTTTCATGGGGTGGAAGTACAGGATTTGATCTTTCTGACAAGCACACGTTTTTCAAAATTCATTTTCCGAGAAAACACCACGGTCGAACATTTTGGGGGGGGGTTGCCGAACACTTTTTTTTGAAACAGCGAGTTTTTGGTATTTAAGCGGGCATAACTCACTTTACTTTCACTTCTGTGATGCCACTTTTTTCATGGGGTGGAAGTACAGGATTTGCTTTTTCTGACAAGCACCAAACCGTTTTTCAAAATTTATTTTCCGAGAAAATCACCACGGTCGAACATTTTGGGGGGGGGTTGCCGAACACTTTTTTTGAAATCGCGAGTTTGGTATTTAAGCGGGCATAACTCACTTTACTTTCACTTCTGTGATGCACTTTTTTCATGGGGTGGAAGTACAGGATTTGCTTTTTCTGACAAGCACCAAACCGTTTTTCAAATTTATTTTCGAGAAAATCACACGTGTTGAACATTTTGGGGGGGGGGGTTGACAAACACTTTTTTTTTGAAATCGCTTAGTTTGGATTCAAGCGGGCATAACTCACTTCATTTTCACTTCTGAGATGCACTTTTTCATTGTGGTGAAAGTACAGGATTTGCTCTTTTGTCACTGAAATTGAAATCTTTGTCGTCGGTGCGGTTTATTTCGATGCACGCCACGCCCACGTGGGCGGGGCTCGCCTAGCTGATGTGAGTTTGCACTTCGGAAGCACCTTGCCCAACCATCCCACACTGACCTGGTCCCTCCAAGCGGATCGAAGGAGCAGGGAATTTCGTGACAGACATACAGAACGACACACAGAACACAGACGAAGCGCTTTATAGTGTGTAAGATAGATGGTTCACTATGAGTTGAGCTTTAGTTCGTGTTTCATTGCTTTGGAAGTAACGGAAGAGTTCAAAGCAACACTATGCATGTAATATGAGCAACTCTCAGATTATCGGTAAAAAGTTATCCGCCTATAAACCTGGCTGGTTGTTGCAGAACTACAGTGGTATTGGTCACTATACTCTCGTGATGCAGAGGGAAAACGGAGAGGCCCCATCACGGCCCGAAGATCCCTTAAAGATAAAGTCCGAGATCGAGTTGATACGTTTCTTTTTTCAAATTGGAAAGACCCCATTTTCTAGATTAAAGAGGGATTATGGCAAAACGGTACCTGATTTCAGTTCGGAATTCTGCATTACTCTTAGTAAGTTGGTCGAGTGCTGCAATGTAGATGGGGTACTGCTCCAAAAGTGTATTATAGGACGGTAGCACATTGTGAGTCATACATAGAACTCTTTGAGAGAGCTGCGATATGTTTCTGAAAGTAAGTGTAGTAGTTTAACAAAGTATGTAAGGTGAAGAATAAGGCAGTATCCAAGTGAACCGCAGAGACTGGCACCAGGAAGGTGAAAAATTTGAAAGAAATGTGGATAGCAACTCTCACTCTCAATCGTCAAGAGCCTGATTCAAACTAGGTCCAGCGGAAGGCGAACCTGCGATATTGGGCTCATTAGATTTACCAAGAGCCATATTTGTGCTTACCCGAAAAGTGTGATACCGGTTTCCTCTTAATAACCATAACAGTCTTTGCGTGTCCAGAACACTAGAAAGAAAGAAAGGTTGCCTGCCTAGGCGAGTTTTGTTCGACAGAATGGAGCGCATAGAAAGAAAGAAAGGTTGCCTGCCTAGGCGAGTTTTGTTCGACAGAATGGAGCGCAGCTTTTTTCTACCTTATCTGCTAGCTCAAATAATGCGTTAGACCATGTTCTTTGCATGTAGGGCTAGCACAATCTCGTTTCGACAGACGGCAAGCGTCGTCTCCTCAGCGCCATTATTTTTAGCAGTTTACCATGCGTAGCTTATTCTTGAATTCATCATACCTACGTTTTGGAAACAGCGTTTTCCGCTAACAATCGTCGAGCTGTCCTTCTTGCGCATTCTTGACATCACAGGAACTAACCCTACACGCGTGATGGCACCGGTTCATGGATTCACGGCGAGGGTAATAATGAGTGCTTTATTAAATACAGGAGAGGGTATTGTTACTACCCCGGCATTGCCGTAATACTAAGGCTTACTTGTTCGTTTCGTCAGTTGCAGCTTTCCTCAACCACTTTCCTTGGGTGTCTTATGATATTGTATAATGGTTCAAGGGTGTATCACGATCATAACATGCGAATTGATAAGTACTGCAACATGGGCGGAAGTGATGAAGTGGCAAGTGGCACGCTTACCACGCGTGCGGTCCTGGGATTGAAACCGGCCGTGCTTCGCCCGGGCCAGCCAAGCCTTATATTTTGAACTAACTAAATGGAACTAGACTTATCTGGGAGAACAAAAACACCGACTCAATTTGGCCCCTGCAAGTCATTGTGTAGGCCACATAGCACTCAAACGCTACTTAGGTTAGGTTGTTCGGAAAGCAGGCGGGTTTCGAGATGCCTCGCATACTTGGAAAATTTTATTTTTATACTGAAACTTCTTTTGAGACCTAAAGCCCCATATATCTATATCATTGGCAAGCATATCCCATCTTCTTTCCTACAGTATATTTTAACTTCAGCCTTGCTTGTTATATTGGGTTTTACGGGAGGTGTCAAGACAGTGGTTTGGGTAAGTTTTCTTCGATGTGCTGAAACTCTGACGTAGTGCTCCTTGGACCTGTCGAAGTGACATTGAAAGATGGGGTCGAAGAAGCACTTCCAGGAGCGCAGCACAACCTTGGTTCCGAAGATTTGATCAAAATAATTTCATAGTTGAGTTGGGGGGAGACGTCAGCGTGCTTTTGCTGTTGACGACGGCCTCCTGAATATTCCCGCAGGAGATGATTCCAGTTTAACTGTGCTATAGCAAGCAGTAGGATCAGAAGTAGGTATATTGAAAATATCGTGGCTCTTGATGATAAACGGAGCGGTGAAAGAGCTGAGCAGGTGACTTCTGCATCCGCTTGAGTGAAGCAGCAGCAATACCGTCTTCCCAAGAGGTCGCTGCCAGCGGTATTACGTATCAAGAACTACTAGTACTCAGTATGCATTGTCATCAGAGTGAGATGGAAAATGGACTCTTTCCGATTACAGAAAACCATCTGTCTATAGTTAGACCGCGATGACTCCTAAAAAACTTTCCCATAGCCGAAATTTCAGAAGGTCAGGGTTGAGCACAACATTCGACAGTCACCAACGCTCCCCTTTCCAACCATCTCTACAACTGCTTAAGTAAAAAATGCTTCAATGTTCAATCTGATGTAGAAATGACGCTCGACGATATCATTGTCCCCAGAAGCGCTGATTTCAATGTGGGAAGCAAGGGTCAAGTATGCGTTGAGGAATCCTCGACACGTCACAGGGGGGGGGGGGGAAGGGTCGTGTTAGCATCTGGGAGGAAGAGATTGGGTCGGTTGATGCAGTAGGATATCACTTTAGGAGGACAAACATCAAGGATTTAATCGGTGCCATGGAATGGCAGAGGATTTCCAATAATAAGGTTATTCTACCTACATAAAATCTTCGTGATTCAGAGGCGTCCGCATAACAATTCTTAGTTACTTCAGAGTTTTATCACGATACAAGTTAAAGCATTCAAAATTCGCACGTTCTCCAAGGGGTTTTATCTTTCAAGTAAGTCCTCGAAGCTGAAGGGATGCGAAGCACACGGCGCATCCCAAAGTGGGCCCAGCTGGTTGTGCGAGCTTTAACTACGGCTCTTTGGAGAAAGACTCTCAATTCAGAAAAAATCAAGAGGATCCTGAAAGGGTCCGTGTGAAAATACAGGGAGGAGTACACTGTTAAGCAAGAAATGCAGCTCTCAGCGTCAAGTTTATGAACATATAAGTGTTGAAGTTTAGATTCGTCAGGCAATTTTACACTTGTTGGAAAGAAAAAAAAAACACGAGAATTCCGAAAATGCTCCAACTTTTGTATACAATCGCACTTGAAGGGAACTATAGTCGTCGAAATAGTGCCAATGCAGCGAAAAACTACCTTTCAGCGGTACTTGGGCAAAAATCCTCGACGTGGCCATTTTTTTAAATAGTAGACGAACTTAGCAGTTGAATGCATTGAATAGAGCAAATTATGATGACATATAAGCTTTTCGAATTGGATGAGTTTGAACGGAATTATGGCTTTGGAAAGCTCATCACGAATTTTCCTCGTTAATTTTGAAAAAATCCTCGACGTGGCCATTTTCAAATACTGAACGTATGCTTTGGTAACCGTTTGATGGAGAAAATCTTCTTGTTTTGTCTGCTATTGGACATTTTAGATTTAACGAAAACGAAGCAAGCTATGGTTGCGGAAAATGTAAAAACTCCTGCTCATCATGAATTTTCCTCGTTATTTGATCTAATTTTGTTATTTCTTAGGAATTTTTGTAATCTCAACACTGATTAGAAGGAGCTCCTCACAAAACTCCCAAATCTGCTTTCGGACTGAAAATTCGTCATGTTTGAAGAAAGTTATAATCATTTGAATAAGTGTTCAAATTCCAATAGTAAGTAAGTTCCTCCAACGCCAACGCCAAAGTCCAATCAACACACAGCTAGCTAATACGGTTATAAGGCTTCCTTCAAGCGAAAGATGGACGTGTAAGTTAAGAACTATACTCTGTATAATACTAAAATTTGGTAAGTCTTCCGGAGGAAATAAATAAAGAAGAGATGCTGTCATAGTATGCCATTTTGTCGTTCTTTGCTCCGTTTGCTCATTTGGTGAGACTCATAATAATGATCATTCTTCGACTTTCTTGTTTTTATACTTCTTGAACGAATTTCTTGATGAAGCCTGGGGTAGCAGGATTTTTTATGAACAGTTTTGGGCAGAATTGAGCAACCTTTTCATGGTTCGGTTTGTGATTGAGGGACCTTTCATGGACTACGGCTTCTGGAGTAGGTGGAAGGGGGGGGGGGTCGTATTACCAAATTTTCCTCGACTGTTCGCTTGACTCTGGTGGGATGGACTCTTTGTTATGCAGCTTACTAAGGAAGATTAGTGCTTCCCAACAATTTTTGTTACGACAAAAAATGTTTAATTTCAGTAAAAATACGCTTCTTTGAAAATGTGGGTCAAAAACCCGCATTACTTTCCGAACAACCTACTAATAGAATGTAAAAAAATGCGTGCTGCATCCCAAGATGGGACTGATCAACAGCAAATGCTTTATCTTTTATCCTTTACGTACCGCAACATTTATGGACTCCCACGTCTGTTGGCAGTTAATTCATTCCATCAGCCCCCTTTCGCTTATTCTGCAGACGAGCAGACAGAAATATCGATCAAAAAACCAACAGTTTTAGACTTCCAAATGGATAATTGCAGATCAGGTTCCTAAATCATCCATTTAACGGCGGACATTGCGCTGTTTCCTTCCATCTTCACAACAACAGCTATAACAAGCCAATAAAGGGGGTTTGTTGTTCAGATGATCAATGAGTAGATAAATGAGCAAACAAGTAAATAGTAAACAAATAAAATGGGTTTCTTGAGATGATGGGAGAGGCACTTGAGTGAATCGGGAGCAACCCTATCACTAGATTCAATTAGCCATTACATTGCCACATCGCATTAAAACGCCACTAGGAATGTACAGCCATGAAATGGCTTATTGAATCTAATGGCAGGGTTGATAATAATTGCTGAACATTACTCTGCAGTGCTGATCTCCTCCAAAAAAGAAGCTTGGGACTCTTTCAGTTCTTTCAATTTCTTCGACAATTCAACGACCACTCCAGAGCTTTCCAAAAACGGTTCGATCAAGCGCGGTAAGTTCTGAAGAGTTGAAATTACAATCCAAAAACGAAAATGGAATGAAAATGTGTACCAGTAAGAGAACACGTAAATATCTAACCTCACAAACTAAGCGGAAATCCCTCGCAGCGCTACGTTCATGATCGAGAAGATCCTCACGTATTTGGTAACACATGTCGGAGAGCAAATTCTGAACATTAGCTTTTGAAAGGGTGAAGACTACTCGGACATTTGCCCTTCTTAGCATCAGCTCCAGCAGTGCTGGGTTCGAGAAACAGCCGTTTCTGTATAACTTCTTGAACATTTCTTGGGCAGAATTTCCGACAAGCATAGAAAGTTTGCTAAGGAATCGTCGATGGAAATCGCATGCTTCTTACTTTCCCGTAGATCGGAGGCCTGAACCCACTTTCTACGGTCAGACCGAGAGAAAAGAAGACGTAAGTATCGTCCGGTGAAAAGATTTGAAAAAGTTAGAAGACTACGACTTCCGCCGTAAAACTGTCACAATGGTTCAAGTTTGGTCCATGCACTTCACTGGTTTCCATTTGTTTCTGCAGGTGCGCCACTGAGACATCCTTTTGGTCCGACTACCTACATACCATCAAGTGCACCGTGCGCTTCATGTTGTCCAGGTGTTGTGAGGTGAGGCAGGCTGTACATATGGGCCGCCTCCATGGTGAGAATCGTGTCGAGGGCGTGGTCGCAAAAGTACGACCCCCCTGAGATCGATGACTTGGCACGACTCCCCTTGAACAGTTCATACGCAAAATTACAACAGCCGAGTGTATCGATCAACGGCCGATTTAACGGCGCGATTTGACCCTGGGTTAGATTTGCTAAAATCCCGAAAAAAAAAACCGTAGAAATCTACATCCTCGAGGAAAAGTACCCATTCCTCCATTTCCCATCCTTTTGAACAGCACGCGGTAGGGTTAGATAGAGCTAGATCTGCTACTACCAGGCAACTGCTATGAAAGCCTTCCATTTGAAGGGATATAGTCTCTCAAAATCCGTCGAGGGAGCGTCGAGGATGCCGAAATTTTCGTGCGAGTTTTCGCCACTTGAAGGCAGCGATAACGATAGATTCTGGAGGAGTTTAGAGGGACGTGGAGGTGCTCAATGGTGCGCAAAGGTGAAAAGAGCAGAGAAATCCGTTAAGAATACGCAAAACACTACACTCGAGCCCGTTCATTTTCGAACATGGATAAGCAGCGACAAAGGCAGAAGTTGTTCGGACGTATTAACCCCGATAGCCGCCACCATGCCAACAAGCATAGTGTTTCCGTTGATAAGGCATTACATAGGCAAGTTGGAAGATACAGATACAGAAAAACGATCTTCCAAAATGAAGGCTTACTCCAACGGCTCGCTGTCAACAACTGAACTTGTGGGCGTAACGCTGCTGGAGGCGGAGCGCTGCGGAGGTCCTGCTCAGCAACCACAGCACCTTTCGTCGTGGAAGCGCCACATATCGCTTCCTTGGCAGCCAAGTGATTGCTCTGTGTGGCGCAGGTTCTTCCCCGATGTAAAAGTTCCTTATCTTTATCGCTTCCTTTAAAAGGCAATATCTCTCTAATTTCGCAGGAACTTGAAAAGGCGAAGAGAGTTTCATGAAGCGGAAGGTTTGCGCTTTCTAACATTACGTTTAATTTCCTTCACCTAATTCCCTAGTTGAGGAGATATTTGCGTCGAGGATCTATCGAGGACGATTCTCGGCAGCCCAAAAAGCCGTTCCTTTCTTCACCATTCCAAGCGTAACTATTTGGCAACGTTCAAAATGTGTTTAGAATACAGACTTCCAATATAACCAATAAGAAAAGGAGCAATCGTTATCATCTGATTTTATCTGGGTATAGGCCATGCATCCGACCTACGCTCGAAGTTGCAGAATCGACTGAAAGGTGTCATATGACCGTGACCCGTTGACAGAAGCTGCATTGTAGTAAACACATTTCGTATGAGGAACAGCTTCATTTGCCCAGGGTCTTTCCTCCACGGTTCTCGTTTTTGTGTCAGCATCCCTAACAACAGTGTCATTCTGAACGAGCTATTATATAAGGGAGAGGGAGCGGGCGATAGATGGAGGAGGTGCTTTTGCAACGCGTGTGCACATGTGACCCCGTTCCTTGTGGAGATGCACTTTCATTCTTTGTACTGCTTTCGAGTACATCCTTCTCATTAAGGAAGAGGAATGGGGCGAGTGAATCTGCAAAGATATTTAATATAACGTTTTTCTTTCACACATCTTAGCTTTCTGCTGCGTTACACACTCCTACTATTATTTTCACTACGATGCCATTGATGATACTGACCGTGACGAGTACGACCCCACACAACCTAGCCTGAAAAGTACGCCCCCCTCCCCCTGTCGAGGATTTCCTTGACCAATATTCACTCCGGCGGCAACCGTTCGAAGAGCATGCACTCCTTTGAACCCAATGGGGCCACTGACGTAGATGTATTAATTAGTTGTAAGTACGAAGTAAAGAACTACTTCTCAGCAAGCGACAGAGCCTCAGAAAATGCATGCGTGTACTCGGTATGTTGAAAGCAGAAACCTCAATAAGGTGCAAGCCCATAACCCTTTCGGCCCTGGCGGTAGCAATTGCCACCATCAAATTCAAATGTTTGCATTGCCGCTGGAACAGCATGGTTTTCCTTATCCTACTACAGGCTGCTTCAGCCAACCTTCCCCTATCTTATTATGCGCTAAACCTGCCATTTCATTGTGTGTTCCTAGTATTACAAGTTTCATGTACAAGTGCAACAATGAATCGACGCTGGTCCCCGCAGCCTGCCAAGTAAGCGTCACTATTTCCTAAAATACTTGAAGTAGATCCGCTCTTTTATCAAAATCATGGGTTATAATGTTGCGCAAGATTATAAACTCTTTCGGCATAACTATGAAATTCGAAATTGTTTCGACATAAGCTCAAAAACTAAGAAGGTGGGCCAATTTTTAAAGCTGTCCATTAGGTCGGTCCATAATTTTTGAGAAATTTTACATGTATTGGTGTGAAATTTAATAGGTATTGAAGCTTTCCAAGATGTCCAGCAACCTAGCACACAAGCTCGCCTATCTGACAGGTCACCTCGTTTGCATGTTACTTTCTTTAGCTTGACTTCCAATTTCTTTGAGACCTCCTTCTGAGCCTCTTTCTTCATAACTTCAGATTAGAATCTTCCACGAGAAGGGCTATAAGGAGGATTACCCAGAGGATAGCTGAGGACACGCTCTCTCAATCCACGGTGCTCTGGTGGTTACCTCTACACAAAGTTCCCTCCTTTTATTCGAAGATGTTCCACACTCCAACCACCCCCTGACTGACCTGACAATCTCGATGCTCTATCCGGCGCCATTGAAAAGGAATCTGAACAAAGTGGGCACTGCTTGTCAGAGCGCTTTTGGTGTTACAAGGTGCGTGTACTGAGACATTTCGATAAAGTGGTTATGGTTTGAGCATGTGGAGTTTGCTTCTCCCGTGCTTTGAGCACGAATCTCTCTACACCCGATCTGACATCATCATGTTCCTCTTGGTTTCCCATACTTCCTTCAAATAACCATCCATCATACTCATCGGTGATGTGGACTGGATGCGGTGTGCTAATAAATCCACAAGGCGCAGTAGCTTAGCTTAAACGATTCGGGAGGTCTGACAGCAAAAAGGCAACTCCTTCTGAATTCTGACTTCTTGAGTTGTTGGCGGAATAGGAGAGGGACTTTGCGCTGGGAACTGGCACCAACTAATCCCACTGTCAGTGATGAAGATAACCGTCGACAGCTTGATGGCAACGCCGTCAACTTGAAAGCAAAGTGAGACAAAACCCATTTTTTCCTAAGGTCGTTTGAGTCCACCTTGCTAAGAAAATTCATAAAAATTGGAGACTCTCGTACGGCCAGTTCTTCTAGCTTCGCCTTGTAGCACTAACCTTGAGCCAACAAACGGCCATCCATTCCCCTTTCTAGTTCACCTTATGGAGAAGAAGTCTCACTCTCACACCATAATGTCAAAATCGACATCCAATTTTTCTTCGATCAGAACACTATAGAATTCTACAAGAGAGACGTTGAACCTACCCTCGCATTGATGATATGTTGGTAATAATGCTGATGTATACTGTGCTGAATAAATACATCAGAGAAATAAGATAAATAATTAAGTCGAAAAACACCAAAGGTTCTCAGAAATTATGTACCGACTTAATAGTTTCTTCTTTGTGATCGAATAGCTTCCAAATTTTGCTATAATGATACTTGTGAGCTTACAAGTACTAAATAATAGCTATAAAAAAATTCAAGTCCGAAAGGGTCAAACCTGACTGAGCTTCAAATACGATAGCGCTAGGTAGGACCGCTCGGTAATGATGTAAAATCTCAGAGTCTAAAGAGGCAACTATTTGAAGTATTCCTTCCAGTCTTATCACACGGTTCAGAGACCTATACTTTACACAGGCAGCACGAACATGCGCGACGACTCATTCAACGCGCTGAGGAGAGGACGATCATAGCGAGTTTCCCCACATGAGTGCACATAGAATTCCAAATTCATTCAGCCGAAGACCGGGGACACAGTAGTTTTCGCTAAAGAATAGAAGAACAGGGGCGCCAGACACATCATGAGATCTAGTGATGACTGCTGAACCACAGCCATCACGGAATGAATTTTTCAGCACGTTTAACGCACACCAGGACGATCCTGACGGATGTTTAGAATTCTTCACGAGAACTCTGAACGCAATGTGTCCCTCGAGCGAGTATTATCCACTGGAAACTCTGGGAAGCGACAGAAACTAATGGAGACGTGACTGGCCTTAGCTAGAGAACATGAACAACGGGAGATGATACAGGTAACAGGTGATCTTCGCTAGCACTGCTTATAAAACCTTACGAAACCATCACAGAAGATCAATCATGACCTCTTTATTGCCGTTGATCGCATCTTCGATGTCAGGGAACACAACGGACAATTCTGGCCATGTTTCGTAGTCGAGCTTACTATCGGCAATCGAACCGGATACGGTCATTTTCGGAGGTGTCCTGGACGTGTCTGAAATAGAAACGGCAACTGGAACCGCATGGTCATTCAGCGTATCATTCAACTTCGAAGAATAATGTTATTTGACTCAATTTCGATTCAAAAAATACCTTTTGAGTACACAGTGCCTCCTAATGATTCGCTGCCGCTATCACTTGAGTCACAGGGTTCGAAAAGTCGTTGCGATGTGCTTGAATTGAGGCTCGCGCTAGTTTCAGCTCTTGAAATAAAGCAAACGTTCTCCTAATCATCCCTCTTCTTTCATTCAAATACAGTATTAACGGATCCTTCAACAAATTGGTGACCATGACACCTTTGGGTATTTCCGAAAAGCCTATTACTGGGAAAACGCACCTACCCAACGTATGGGTAGTAGTTACTAGATCGATACGAACTATCCACAGTTTTACTGATTATTCCGGATGTATTATGATTAAGTTATTTGAATATTATTATTAAAGGTGCTTACTTTCTAGGCAACTGGTAAATATCCGACTTGATAGCGCCGTCTGAGGAAAACGTGGAGTTCACGCCATAAATCGTTTTCTTGCTGAACGACGATCGACCAAGGTCTAAAAGGATGCTGTGGGCGACATCGGTAATTATTGGATACTAATGAACTCAATGAACAAAAAATGAAAGCAGTCAATTCAGCTTGTCCACTTATGAACACCATTGCCGTTCCACGACCACGACCTACTTGTTCACAAAAAGCATAACTTGCTAAATCAGACTTGAAAAACAATGCGTCATCTTCCCTCGAAGGACTCATAACCCAGATTTTGTAGGAAAGGTTTACGGGAAAGAAATCTCTTTGAAGTTGTAAGTCAAAATAAAATATGAACCATTTTAAAATAATGGGGTACTGTAAGATATAAATAGGTGCGACAAGCATGAAGTTTCAGAAAGTAGAGTAGGTAGCGATAAATATATGTAAATTTTTACTCGTTTTTTCTTCTGAAGAAGGAAGAGTTTCTGTATTGTAGGAGAAGGCCACCAATGTCTTAGTGAGTTCTTGCCTAGCCTTTCCTCAGCGTTTCATACTTAGTGGAGCCATTCTTCCTTGTTGTCCACCACTCATCAAAAAATTGTAGCGCTGGCGCCATGTGACACCACCCCGACACAACGTGAAAACAAAAAAGCGCCATTGGGGCCGGCGTCAAAGCACATTGTATACTCGTTTGGAGCACTGGACTACTCCTATAAGTGAAATTTCGAAGAAAAAATTCCGACCCTCTCTGGTGTTGTGCTGTTTCGGGCGTCAGGGTTGAAAAAGTGAAGTGCCAAGATGTTTTGTAGCGTGCGGCTGGGTTGCGTCCCCACCACTCCAGTTTAACTCCAGATACTCACGTATCACTTTGGCGAAAGTATACAATCATCCTTCACTGGACTGCCAAAGAGCTTTGGTTCGGACGACACCGCTAATATTCAATGGTTCTCCAGGAGAGCTTGCGCCCGGAATTTTGCGCATAGTGCGCAGTGTAGGAACAGCTCCTTCCATACCCGTCCATTCATAACCGAAAGTTTGTATTGAGCATCAGCGCCGAGAATACCATTACATCACACACATTGTCAATTACAATCCTTAAAACAGACTCCCCTTGATCTTCGCTACTCTCAACACGGCAAGCGCCTAATCTACCGTCGATGCAGCCGTCGAAAAAAAAGAGGCGATCCGCCAAAAGCGGGGGACTGGCAAAAAGGCAGAGGCTGTCGACGTTGTGGAGAGCGCAGGCGGCCAGACGGGGGGCCGCAGACAACCATCGGCCGCTAATGAACGAAAAGCTAACTGATAACCACTGAAAGCTGAGATCAAAGGGAAATTCAGGTTAATGTTTGGCGTACAAATGTACATTATCCCCTAGAGTTTTGGACGCTAATTGCAATCATAGAAACCATTTTCAAATTTTTTAGGTGACAGTGGTGAAATGGGGAAGGGTTCGATATCTCTTTGTAGGCTTCATGTAGGTTGTGATACTGCACCAACTTGTGAGCAGTATTGCGTTCCATACATTATCCGACTACTAATCACGCGTACGCAAGAGACAGGCACCCACAACCACGTTTGAGATTTAGAGCCATAATTTTAACCTGCACAGTAATATATCCAATGTTGGATTTTCTAAACCATTACACTATTTTAACCCAGACGCCCTCAAAAGGAGTCGAAAAACATTCCCTCTGGAACTTCACAGGGGTAATTCGATGTTCTGATCACGAATATGACATGGGTTTTGATGCCAGTATAGCGCTGAGTCGATAGCAAGCTGCTTGAGACGGCACCAAATGCCGTCAGCATCAAAAATGGAAGTCACATTCGTTATAAGGACGCGAGATAGTCCCCACACCTAAGTTTTTAGCAAACTTGATGGAAAACGGTGTGGCGTCGAAATGACGCGAAATGGCGTCAGTATCAGGGTAGAATGTGAATTCGTGAGTGGGACGGTGAATGATTCGATCTTTTTGGGGGCTGTCTTGGCGCAATAGTGTCCGAGCTTATTTGTGGTGTGTCTAGATGAATGTTCATATAATTACCAAGCAAAACTTTTGCCTTGAATGGTGCCTCTTCGTGCCACTTCAGAAAATTCCGTAGGCGAATCCTACAATGATTGAACTGATTTGGGATTCGCTGAATTCCAGTTTTCTTTCTCATCGTGAGCAGTTATAGGAATAGGGTAGAAATTGAAATTTTGACGAAATATGCAGATTTCTCTCTCAGTGGCCGTGAGCTCCTTCAACTAAGGCTATGTCACAAGGTAACAACATTCAAAACTTTCAAACCACTTAGAGGTCAACTTTTAAACTCTTACAATTACCAAGTTTTTCTGAAAGTTAATCCATTCGAAGAATAGCACGTTTGTACCCATTTTTCCCGTGCACAGGGGAAAAGCCTTCCCACGTCCAAACGATCACAACTTCCTTCAAACTTGGTATTTTGAGAACCTGAAGTCAGTAAAACGAACTTATGGTTTTCGAAAAACATTGAAACTGTTTCGAAAAGTTATCGAGTTAGGAAACTCTCCGCTTGCTTTTTTTTTCTCGAGGTCCCAAGCAAATTTGTTCAATAGTGCTTTTGATTTTCAATGCTTTCTTAGCTTTCAGCTTTCTTAAAACCTCGTTCTTGTAGGAACGGGAGTTCCTCAATGATAAGAGGATAGTGCATTTTAGAATGGGCTAAACTAGTCCTGGAAATCCTCGTTATAAAATGTACTTCGTTTCCATTCGGAATTTCGATTCTTTCGAATTGTTGCACATTCGTGCGTGTTACTTTAGCAATAAACATCGGAATTCTTCTAGAGCAATATTTTTGATGCATAAAAACCAAATGTGAGGCGTTTCGTCCTAAAAATACTTCTGCCTTGAGATGGACCACGGCCACTTCCGTACTTCGGTATTTCCGTACTTCGGTATTTCGCGGAAGTAGTAAAGACATTCCTTCGTGATAAGTCTCGCACCTCCATAGATGATTTATGGAGAATCGCAACGATTTCCACCAGTCCTTTCCCGTTTACGACATCCCATCCACCCCTCGAGCCTAATACGATTCTCTCGTTCGTGTTTGCACAAACGAACGGTTGACTTCCGTGGTATTACATCAGGGACGGTAGTAAACCTCCCTCAATTCAGAGTTAAGTGTTGAGATTAGCTCAAACAAAAGTCATCATTAGGTAACAGGTTCAAAGCGCCTACCAACACATTAAGCCTTGATTAGCTCATAGCTAGATCATTATCGAAAAATCGACTTTAATTTCAAATTAGAAAGATAACCTGTAAAGCTAATTCGAAATTAAGCAGAGAAAAAAGGAGCACGTGGTTGATGAGACGCAGACGCCACGTTGACCCTAGAGTAAAAAGTACTCCGAAGGACTTTTTGCTGGAGGGTCAACGTGGCAAACGTGGCATCTGCGACTCCCCATTACCACGGTCTTTTTTCTTCTCTGACCAGCTCCACTAAGTAGAAATTAAAAATGCAGCCGCAATCGCACAATCCACAGATGTTTTTGCGACCTTTTTCTCTGAGAAGTATTCGTTAGTTTCCTCATGTTTCGTTGTTCTGTGATCATAAAATAGAGTAGGAAGCTCGCGTTTGATTGAAGATCGATTCGCGATTGTCTTATTCTTTATTCTATGCAAAGACCTTCAATCACCATCTTTAACTGCGAATTAAGGGTAGTTTACTACCGTCCCAGGTGATGAGAATATAACAAAATGCATACTGCCTTCCCGAAGTGTGCTATGTGACCGTGATCCAAACAAATGACGTATAAGCCTACTCACAAGGGCAGGCAAGGTTAGTATATTGTCCTATTCTACTTCTATCGAAGGCGAAAGGGTACCCGACAGGAAGCCCATCGCAGAGTTGCAGGGCGTGATGGTTGTATTAGGTTGTCTCATAAATAGTGTCGCTTTTTTTTCAACCGAAAATTTTTCACCTGAATCCCCAAGCTTTTACATCGCTTCATATACCTTTCGAACGAGAATTGCCTGCCTACAAGGTGCTGTGTTCCACTTATACTTATGTTTCAGGGTTTTCAAATTTTAGGCCTGCAAAATGGGAGGTTCAGCCGACAAAAATTGACCTAACCGACAACTATCTCCAACTTTATGTTCCCTTGGGAAAAATCAGTCAATGATGTACCCCCTACTTACCCATGACCTCTTTTAAACATTCCACTCTTAGGTTACCGAAAAAGCTTTGCCGTGTTTCTTTTCGAATTGGCTGTCCGATCAACCATAGCAATTTTCAAATTAAGATTGTTCCTCGTAAACGCCATTGTTTCATATCGAATGGTGTTCCTTTTGTGAGCACTTCTTCTGCTCTGCTCGCTCATCTGTTTTGTTTTATCTTTGTTGGGAATTAGTCCGAATTTTAGGTGTTTGGGAATAAGGTGCTTCATCCACGAAAACGACCGCATTTCCTTGGAAAAAAGTGTCCCTAAGAAAATGAGAAAATCAACCGGGCGTGCATTCCTAACTCGGTCATGACTTGTTCTTGGAATTCTACTAGCTCTTCAATGTCTCGGCTTCAAAAAAAAAATTCGACCCAGATTCCAGGTAATGGTGCTCGATAGACGAGTTCTGGTTGAAAGACCAGGTCTGGAAATCAAATGGCGCGACTTGTTGGGAAACCTAATAGTGTAATGTTTAGAAGAGATCATGTATAAGTAGAGGTTCATCATTGACTGATTTTCCCCAAGGGAAGATGAAGTTAGAGATAGTTGTCGGTTAGGTCAATTTTTGTCGACTGGACCTCCCATTTCGCAGGCCTGAAATTTGAAAGTCCTGAAACACAGGTTCAAGTAGTACATAGCATTTTGTAGAGCAGACAATTCTCTTTCGAATGGTTCATAGCTCGATATAAAAGCGTGGGGATTTAGGTAAAAAATTTTTAGATGAAAAAAAGCGACGCTATTTATGAGACAACCTAATAGGTCGTACAATGGCACATCCTACTTAACTTGGGACGAAATCACTACACTATGCGCACTCGGCCCACTTGCCGCGTGACGGGCCTCCTGTCGGGTACCCGGAGGCGAAATCTTACTCTTCGTAAAGTTCGGGTATGCCATACAGTAGACCAGCTTGAATAGTGACAATTTATCGAAAATATATAAACAACCAGATAAAAAAATGACATATGGCTAATGAGAAATACAGCAATACATGTACACACAGAGAGATCGCACAAGTAAAAACCATAGAGATTGATCACGTGAAATACAATAGTCGATGATTACAAGTATGGCAATCAGACATTGCCCACTGTTCACTTCCACCCATACGACACATAATGACACGACTTTGAGGATTCCCAAGGGGAAAAATCCCGTTTCAGTGCCATGCGAGTATAAATGAATATTGCTGTGTAGTGTATGTGTGTGAGTGAATGTGTGTGTGTTCTAGTGTCGCACTCATCTACGGTGACTAGCAAGACATTGGTTTCGCTTCTGGTGTACGGTGTAGTCAATCGATAAAAACAAATATAAATAAAATATTTATTAAGGAACTTGTTTACATGGGTAATAAGCACCACATTTGTTGATTGCGGAAGGCACAAGTATTCAAGCAGTGTACTGATAAGAGGCATGCTGTGCTATGCATAACTGTGTGATGGAAGATGATTCTTCTGTTTTCGAGAACCAGAAAAAAAGGCGCGCCGAATGCAGACCACATACAAGTGACGACGGCCTCCAAGTAATTTAGTAACTAGTCGTCCATGGTGACAGCAATGATTGGTAAATGATGGTTGTAATTAATGACAACTGATGGAATATAACATAACCGGCTAATCATCTCATTGACAGGAAAAATTAACACTTTGTGGAGACCGTCACCACTTGCGTTGAGTAGTCTGCCCTCAACATGCACCTGGTTTCCGGAAACAGAGTGTATCTACTACGGGTGTGGTGATGAGATAAAACGATTAAAAACACTGCTGTACTGCTACCAGTACTACTATGACCACTTCACTACGACTACTACTACTACTTGCACTAGCAAAAAAAAAACGCTGCTGAAACATAGGATAAATTGCTGGAGAAGAGAGCTGTCCAGCTAAAAACTTGCACGCTTCAAACGAATTGTCTCAGCTCAGAAGTACTATCCTGCAAAAGCCCACGTGGTACACTACGTAAATGGTAGTCGGGTCTAAACATTTGATAAACACGACATTTCACTGTAAGCTGAGACAGGTCACTTGACACACAAGAAGCGAAAAAATGTCTTGGTGTTGTTTTGTCAACAATTACTTCACATCATACTATTATTACTACTAAAAGGAGTGTAAAGGAGTGCAACGTGAGGCTCGACTGGCTTATACACACACTCAGCTCAAGTTCCGACGAAGATTTGAGTCACGGTGCAGCGCGTGCAAGTCTCGTGTGAGAAAAACCGATGAACCGCTGAGGTACCCAAAAGGAGGCCCTTGCGCGGCAGGAAGGCAGGGACGCAGACGGGTCAGCAAACTAGTCGCAGCGCGTACTGTAGCGATTCAGCATCAAGATGAATAGAATGTACTGTAGTACGTCCCGCATCGCACAACACGCGCTGCGACACGTCCGCTGAATAATCTGCGTCTATGCTTTGTCGCCGCACGGCGGGCCTCCTGTCGGGTACCCGAACGGCTGAGCCCCAATTGCAAATCGTGCTTTAATTTGTAGCCAGTGACAGCAAATCTAAGCACGTATTGCCCGCGTCACTCTAGCTCCACAACAGTCACTTGGCTGAGTGCTAATGTGTATATTGTATTAGCTGCTACTTAAGCGAAAGCAAATATACAGTGTACGGAAGACAACTCAGGCAAATACGGAACGCAAAAACATTGTACATAAATGACACCTTCAATAAAGATAGATCTCTAGAAGTCTGTCCAGAGTAATCCCGTTTCAGTTCGACGAGAAACCGGCAACGTTTCATCGGAGCCTTTTGGTGATTCGTCGATAAAAGGCGTATTTTGCTCGTCAGACTTTGGCGGCGCACCCGACGAACCTTCTGTGGATGGCGCTTTCACAACGGATGTCATGATCACTGATGTCTTCATGTCGGCCACATGATCCGATACCGCCTTCGGTTTCGGTGGGGGTGGTGGCGGAGGCGGTTTTGGAATGACTGCCTCTGGCGGTGGTGGAGGCAAGGATTCGCTGCCTTCTGAATCGTCTTTCTGATCTACAGAGCTTGCGCTGGGTACGCTTTCGAGCTTCTCCATTTCATCGTGTAGACTCCTTGATTCAGAGACGCTGTCATCGACGACGTCATCGTTGAGGTAACTGATGAATGGTGTGCTTCCACTGACGGTTGGCGAGCATGGACTCGGTGGCAAGTCGAATCGTACTGGTTGCGTTTGCCGTCGAGCATCGCCACGTTTTCCGCGTTTTTCTGTTCGTTCATGGCTTAGTGAACGATGCTTCATCACGTAATCGAGGACGTTTCCCTCAGGCGTGGTGGGCGAAATGGAGTGGTCTTGCGAGGAGAAGTTTCTCGGCGAAGGCAAGCGCTTTCTCGGAACCAGGTCGAGCGATTTCCGCCGTTTGAACTGATCAGGACTCTTGGACAGCCTCCGCAGTGAACCCGTGTCGAAGTCTCGATGTCGATCTTTGAAAGTTGGGAATGACAGTGATTCAGCACTGTCAACCTTCCGAAGTGTAAGGGTGTATGGGATTTCGCTGTTGAACAAGTGGCACTTCTCCACATTCGGACTGTCTTCACTCTTCACCGATATCAGTTTTGGACGCGTTGGTGGGGCCTTCGTGATCGGCTCGGACTTGGGCTCTGGTTCAGGTTCTTCTCTTGAGGACGTCGTGGATAGAGTCTGGTCGATTAAATGCACAATTGGGTGATCTTCGGGAGTAGTCGTAGAGGGAACAGTTTGCTGTGGGGCAACGGATTTCAACGGTTTTGGCATCACGGCCGGTTTCGGACCACGTTCCTTAACCCCATTAGGAGTGATCACCATATTCTCCTTAGTGATGATTTTTCCAGGAAGTGGTCGCTTAGCTCCGTATTCAACTTTTGATTGCACTTCAACTTTCGGAGGATTTACAGAAGGCGGTGGTATGGCAAAAGAGCTGGAAGCAGTTGGATCGGGAACCACTTTCACGGTCGAGTACTCGCTTTCGTGGATGGAAATCACTTTTGGTTTCAACAACAATGCTCCAGTTGAGGTGTAGATTGGTCCCGTGGTTCTACGAACAGATATGTCGACGTTGGGACCATCGATTTCAATAGGAACAAAATTTGTCGAATTGAACGGATATTCCTTCAGATGACGCCGACTGGTAGATGACGTTGTCGGCGCGTTACTTGACGAGTCTTCTTCGTCCGTCGAATGAGGTGTGGATTTAGATTGCGAGATCACACGTTTTACTACTACATTACTACCTACACGTTTCGTTGCAAAGTTTGTACTATGTGCTTGTCGTAACGGCACACCGACATCAGATTTTGTGGACCGTTCGTGATCAGATAATCTATAGGAATCCTCACTAATGTTGTCGTAATCGGGTCGCATCGCATTAAAGTTATCACCGGACAAAGACTTGGGCGGATCAGTATTTTCGACTTCTAGCTCTCTACAAACAACCTGTAAGTCATCACTAAGCACATTCGGAAGCGACAACGAGACATTTTCTTTGTCATGCGATTCCTTGGCAGGAATTTTTTGTCGCGCACGATGCTTCTGTCGCTCAGCACATTCACTCTCATGACGATGTCCTCGAGCATCTAATGTACCTGCATTGTCGATTGTGTGCGTCTGGTTGGGCAGATGAGGTAAAGAGACGTGAGCGCCACCGTTCTTCTTCCGATCGGACACCATCGAATAGACAGCAAACGGAGGACCGCAACGCGGAGACACAGCCGAGCGCAGAGGTCTGAAACAGGCTCATTAAAGCTCCTACTCAAGCTCTGAACAAGCAGTGAGAATGATTTTAGAAGGATGGTGAATATAATAAAACACAGAAAAATTAGGGTTGAAAGGAAGAACCATTAGGTCGGTCTGATGACCGTACCTGTATGAAAATATCCCAATCCCTTATCTACCAAATAATCTCCGTTAACCACATCCAGTTCTGTTCAGATCCCGCTATCACGTTCTACCCTGTCACATATTTACTCTAATTTGAAAATAAATAGATGTGGCCAAGTACTACCAAACCAAATGGCTGAGGTGAGTACTTGAAGTGTGGGTATGAGCGAAAAGTGTGATAGACATCAACATTTGGGCCACGGCGCAATGACTAAGGGACATCGCGTATGCGAAACCATGCCGTGCCTATGTGGCCCACACAGCACCACATTTTGTGGTCAACCATTCGCTGTGCCAGGTTAAACGTGGGATCGTATTTGAGACTCTCACAGGGCTGTTGTGAAGACGAAGAATCTCCCCACACCCCCCCCCCCATCAACCCCGCTCAACCCCACCGCCAGGGTCAACCCTGCGTTGCGCAAATTCCAAAATTACGACTCCCTTCCTTCGGAGTGTATCGGTACGACCCCCCCCCTCATATTAACTATAATGCCTTTCATGCTCATCACTGATGTGTGGGCAGTCACCAACATGGGAAAGTGGTGGACCGTGTTTAATCCGTGCGCTTTGTCTCGCACAGAGGAGGGAATCGAGGCATTATGACGTTTTATTCATTAATAGAAGGAGTTTCCAAATTCTTGCGTAAACCAATACATGACTGTAATCATAGAGATTTCTACTTTCAGTAACCTACCAAGTTTTTTTTCGATCTATCAGTTCTTATTCTTTCATAATCTAAACATATAAACCTTCTAACAATTACGTTACAATACAAACCAATCCATTCAGAAGGTTTTTTTTTCAGAAGCGATATCATAGAGCCGGACGCAAAAATTTCAAAAATTCGAATAGTTTTCATCCTAAAAAGTATTTGAAATGTTGCGTATGCTCAATATTCCAAAAAAATCCTCCCGTTGTTCCGTTTTTTGTGCACACGCGAGTTTTCGAGATTCAAATATTCATAACTTTCTTCATACCCAACTTTTTGCAGATTTCTAAGGCTAAATAGAAACTAGAAGATTAGCGCTTTCGAATAAGTACTAAAACGTTTAATGAATCACTCGCTCAAAAAATAGCCCCGTTGTTCCGTTTTTTTTCCCTTGACTTTTTTAAAGCCTTTTTCCTAAACCGCGACTTGCAATCTTTGAAGGCCCACCGTCAAAGTTAATGCGATGAGAAGCAGTAAAGACTGTTAGAATCTACGCGAAGAGTACTTTAATATATGTGAAAAATTTCCCTGATTTTTGTCTTCTGCCTTAATTTCATAAGGGGTTTCTAGAATTCAAGCAAATCGCTACACTTTGTTACGCTTAGATTTGATTTGAAGGCATCAAAATGTTTGCTAACGGCTACTGAAAGATAAGGCGTTCTCATGGGAAAAGCCTGCTCGGGTATACGCCGGCACCTGTCTGTGGCTAGAAGTCGCACTCGCATTTGAATGTCCTCCATCATCCTTAAGAAGGTGTTAGTATCGTGATTGAGTTGCATTGTACTGTTACGTGATACTCTTGTTTCACTTCCCCATGAGCTGCTCTATAGCTGCTCCGTGCATCAAGGAGAAGAACGCTGATAGCGGGACTTATAATGCTCTGCATGCTCTAATGCTCCCACGGAAGCTCTTGTCTGTGTGACTCTCCGAAAGCTGGACGGTGCAGAGTTAGAGTCAAGAAAACCGTCGAGGAAAAATTGGAAATACGACCCCCCTCCCTCCCCCAGAGGCCGAAGTCTATAAACGGACCCTCTTCAATAGCCGAAGTATGAAAAGGTTGTTCAATTCTCCCCCAAAACTAATCAGCCAGCTGTGTGTCGATTGTACTGATGCGTTGGCCTTGGAGCAACTTATCTACTATTGAATTGAACATATATTCAAATGATTATAAATTTCTTCAAAGTAAACGAACTTTTAATCTGAAAGCAGGTTTGGTAGTCTTGTAAAGAGCTCCTACTAATCAGAGTTGAAGTTGTGAAAATTTATGAGAAACAAGAAATTTAGATTAATTAACGAAGAAAATCCATGATGAGCACGAGTTTTTACACTTTCCAAAGCCATAGCTTGCTTCGTTTTCGTCGAATTTGGAAAGTTAGTATGACAGGCAAAACAAAAAATTTTCTCTATCGAACGGCCACTAAAGCAGCTTGATACCTCCAGTATTTAAAAAATGGCCACGTCGAGGATTTTTGCTTGAGTACCGCCGAAAGGTACTTTTTCTATGCATTGGCACTATTTCAACGACTATAGCTCCTTTTAAGGGCGATTATATACTAAAGTAGGAGCAGATTCGGAATCCGCGTGCTTTTCCCTTTCCAACAAGTGTAAAATTGTTTAGCGTATTTCAATTTTTACAATTACATGCTTACGAATTTGATGCTGACGACTGCGTTTCTTTTTGAATAGTGTACACCTCCCTGGAATTTCACATGATTCCTTTCAGACTTCTCTTATATTTTTCTGCATTGAGACTAATTCTCCAGAGAGCCGTAGCTGAAGCGCGCGCAACTGGGCCCACTCTGGGATGCGCCGTGTGCTTCACATCCCCTCGGATTTGAGGACTCAGTTGAAAAAAAATGTCCCTTGGAAAACGTGCGAATTTTGAATTCTTTAACTTGTGTGGTGATAAAACACCGAAGTAACTAAGAATTGCTAAGCGGACACCTCTGAGTCACGAAGATTTTGGGTGGGCGGAATCAAGTGTAATTGGAAATACTCTGGCCTGGCACTGACTCGATCCTTGATGTTTGTCCTCCGACGGTGATGATCCTACTGCATCAATCCGGCCCGATCTCTTCCTCCCAGCGGCCAAGACGACCCCCCCCCCCCTTTGACGTGTTGAGGCTTCCTCAACGCACTCTTGACCCTGTGCAGAGCTCCTGGAGAACACTAATTAAAGCGTGAAAGTGTAGTGCCGGACACTGCACTTTCCAAGCCATCTTGCAGCTCCGTCTTCTTAATACGACCCCATCCCCTTTCATTCGACAGAATACGACCCCCTCTTTGTTCTTTGCGCAAAGGGCGATTGACTTGCCCACCGCTCGACCAAAACTGGAGGGGATCGGAGGTGGAGTTGAAGTGTGTTGACTAGTTGCAGATTCGAATACTACGGAAACGGTCACGATGGTGCAGGGTGGAGAAGGAGGCGGGTCGTGTAAGGGTTCCTTCTAAAAGGTGGAAGTCGTGTTGGAACCTCTTTAAAAAATGGAAATTTTTCGACTGGGCAGACCACTGACCCTGCGAGCTATTGTAGAGATGCTATAGAGCATGACTGGTTACATCCTCCTCTGGTCGCTGTTGGCACAGGCCTAGTCTGTGGCCGTGCGGGAGTAACTGCTACATCTCATGCCCTATTGTAAGCCCTCTGATCGAAGGATTTCTGATAATATTTGACATGCAACGAGTCAATGAATGCGGGAAATATTAGCTCTGGGTCAAGTAAAGAATAGTCCTATCTTGTAGCCAAGTCGACGTTTACGAAATTCCCTTGGACCCGGCTTGAAACAACGTATGAGCAATTTTCTAAGAATAGAAATTCGAAAGAGACAAGTTTCAGTGATACGGAACTCTCACGATCTCTGCAAAAAACCTTCTTCTGCAAAAAACTCAATTTGATCAAGACAACATTATGGAACAAAATAACCTTTCAAGACGGCGGTCAATGGTGTTTAGTGAACTGGAATTACCTCGTAAACGGCTCTCTTCGCTTATGGTGTTCCCGAACATAGTCGATCAGCTGCTTTTGGGTCCTTCCGTGATACCTTAAGTATAAGTATAATAAGTATAAGTTTATTACGTCTGTGGAGGGCACACGTGGAAAAAAAATAACAGGAAGTAAATCACCAACACAGTTAGGCTAGCAATAAACGATGTCAAGAACAAGGATAAATTAGCTTGTTAATCAGTCTCAGAAAACTTTAGGACCCAGTCGACATGACGTCTAAATTGTGCCAGCGATAGAGTGACGGGAATGTTTTTCACCATCTTCAAATAATCACTACCGGCCCTAAAGGTGAAGCTCCTCGTCCGCAAGTGAGTTTTAAGTCGTTTCAAAGAAATCTTCACAAGGCCTCCCCTGGTTCTCGAACGTGCCAGCTTAAACACGTTGGAACCATTGCCACACATGCCCTGCACCAGCTTATGAACCATGCAGATACCAAAAACTCTCCTTGTTTCTAAAGATGTCAATCCTAGATATTATTCCTGATGGCTGCCCTCGGTACTTTGGAGTACAAAAAACCACCAATCCGAATAAACAGTTTACGAGTGGAATTATTCTGAACTTTCTCAAGCGCGTAGACATGCTTCCTTTTCATGGTATTGAAAACCGAGTGCTGGACTAAAATAGGGGACGCACACACGACTTGTAAGCACGCAGCAAAGCTCCTTTATTAGTTAAGGACAAACCTTTGAACCTTAAAACCAAAACCATTATATATCCTACAGGATCAAGAAGTTGAAGTTTCTCCACATATGTTCCCTTATGCTAGTCTTATTCTATGTCGAAAAATAGCGCCTCTTTCTTCAACCGTCAATTCCGAAAATGGGAAGACACGAGGGAACAAAGAAACAACAGTTGAATATGATCCAAGAAGGGACAATTGCGATTGTCTGGGGAAATCGCCAAATGTGGCATTCAAGAGAAGTGCATGACGCTGATGTGAGTTTTGCAAATGAAATAAAGGCAAAGATTAAAAAAAGCGTGGTTTCAAAGGGATTATAACGGTAGTGGTAGATCGACTGAGCAGAAATCGATCACAAATCGCAGGCCACATTCATGCAAAATGTCTGCATGAAATTTTTTTGGATTTTTATCACATAAAAGGTCTTGGAGAGCTGGTCATCTGGTTGGATGTCGGTTAGGGAGCAAGCACTCAAGTTTGTGTTTTAATAACTATTTCCTTGGCTTTGTGTTACCTTAGCTTCATGACTTCCTCAGCTCCAACCGAATATTGAGTAGGTCAAACAGATAAAATTGTTATCAGACACTTCACGAAGCTATGCAAGATGTGAACATTACAGCGCATCCACACTACGGCGCCTGTTAAGCTAATCGAGTTTAGCTGGGCTGCTTCAGAAGAACATCCTTCATACAGAGGCGCATTCAACAATTCATTAAATAGGGCCCTGATCTTTGAAAAAAAGCACAATCGGCAACGAGAGTCTGCGTGCCTAGGTGAGATATCATAAGAGAGCAATTGGCGACTGCTCGCTTATTGCAGGCAAAAACTACAGCCACTCACAGCTCGACAATATAGCTCCCCTGTTTTACTTTTGCGCTTAGGGAACAGTCATATGAAGGCAAAGAAGCAATAACCACTCAGCATCATGCTGAAATACGTGTTCTAAGGCAGTGATCACGATGGCTGAAGGGTAGTGCGGTTTCGATGACGTCATGAAAGGGCGTTAGAGCGCGGTCTCAACCACACACCAAGCGCGATGAGGGTCTGTTCCATCGACGCACTGACGCATCAGAACCACACCGCCCTCCACTGATCACTGCGTTTGGAGATCTTTCCTGAATTAGGAAGCAACATGTTTCAGAATTACAATGGCTCTTGTACCTGAACGATGATCCTTTGCTGAACAGTCGGCTGTCCTTTCGAGTACTGTCAGCTGCCGAACAGCGAAAAAACGCGTGGTGCTCTACACACTTTTTCCAGAACGATTTACATTCGTTTCGTGATTCGAAAACGAATTGAATCGTTTCCTTGTAATACTGCTGAAAAAACAATACCCATTATTTAAAGTAGCGGCCTGTGTCATAAGAAATTTGGTTAGGATCAGGGTTCGTATGAGTGAACCACTAGGAACTGGATGAAAAAAGTTTACCCTTTACGAATCAGCTAATTCAAAGTTGTGGCTTGAAATTTGGATGAAACAACCGTTTATACTTTGAAGTCATTCGAAGTAAAAACGGCTGTTTCAACCGGTTTGTTGGTTGTTCAATCTCATGTCAAGGTTACCAACTGCCGTACCATGAGCGGAGAGCTAAATAAATCCAAAGTGATCGTAAGTGCCTGAATCTCTAGCGATTGCCTTAGGAAGAGATTGTTATTTGGTATCACACGATGAGGTGAACAGGCTCAAGGGACGAATGGAAACCTTCTTCCATCAACATTGTAATGGCTGGACCATGGACCCCTTTCTGGATCAACTTTCTTGATGCGTTGCGACCGTAACCGTAATTCTCAAAATCAAACTATAGACGAAAGTTGACGAAAAGACTCACATAACTGTCCGGGTGGAGTTTCACCAGAAGTTTCTTCCGTTTGAAGCTGAGCTTACGGATCTTCGCCCACGAGAACGTGGAAACACATTGCAGTTGATGATATACCTTGATACCCAGGTGAAGCACAGCTAGGCGAGCCTCCGTACCTTCTATATCCTAGAATTGATACTGAAGATTTTCTAAAACGTAAAATCGTGGCGTGAAATGGTGTTTCTTGAAACTGTTTTAATCACCGCCACGACATTTCACCATTTTTAGGACAACCTTTTCAGTAATTGTTTTCCTTTCTTTTGCTGTCATCAATTTATTATCAATCGGATCAGTTTTTGATAGGTGGTGTAATGGCGATAAGTGTTGCGGTCATTCATCATTCAGCTGTTGCGAATCGTCGTAAGGCACATGGGATATGAGAAAACCCTTTGTACTACACATGCGATAAGCAAATATGAAAAATACCTTCGGACTTAAGCAACAGTCCAGGCAGGGTTCAACTATGGTCATTAGGCGATAAAACATGCCCAGCCCAACTAAAGTTTATAGAAATGTCTTTAATTTCAAACATACCTCTAAAAGCGCTGGAAGGGTCGAAGTCCTCTTGGAGGGGCGGATCACCATAAAGAGGCGGATCGCCCAACATACGCTGTGCAGAGTCGGCGCTTGACTAGCGATCGTTGCGGACGCCGCGCTGTATGAGGTCGATTCCATAAGAACGCAATTGAAGCGCTTCAATTTCGATTGCTGGCAAGTAGTTATGTATTTGCAAGCATGCAGCTATTTGCCAGCACTTGCAATTAAAGCGCATGTACTACGGGCAGGTTCGGACAACTCGTCAACACACGTCTCCCTAACGGCAGGGCATGTCCCTGTCTAAGCCCCAGTTGGGCGTTTTCTTCACTTTTTCTCTTTACGTTCGACCATTTTACCTAAAACTTCCATATAGGTGCTTTTGGCCCGCAAATTCGTTCCTGGACTGTTGCTTTAAACAGCAAGGCATAACACAAAAGAAAACATCACGTATATAGATAAAAGTGTTCGCCGGAAGAATTTTTCGGGCATTACTTATTGTTGCTGTGCGCTGTGCTCTTCAAAGAGTGGCGTTCTTCCAGCGCCATCCATCTACATATTTAGCTCATCTAGAGGAGATTTCCTAGTCAACTGAAGGCTTCAGCTCAAGCAATAAGGAAGGGGAAACTGCGATGGATTTTTTCTGTGAGGATGATTCTGTAAGCGCACCTATGCGTTTAGCAAACAAAGTCAAGACGGATGAATTAAATGTACTTCTTTACTTCAGTCGGAGCAACACGTTTGCCGGTCCCTTTCGTCAATCATTTGTTAACGTCTTTTAATTACATTCAGGGGTGAGTTCTCCGAGATTCTCTTTTTAAGATCGTTCAGTTTTTGGTTAACAGTGGACTCAAAGTTAATTGGAAAGAAAGTCTCTGGACTTTGGGAAAACATAATTCATAGGGATAGCGCTTTTCTAAAAATGCAGAAAAGAATCACGAAATCCACAATCAGCCCGCTCTATCCCAAATTAAGCATTTTCTTCCACAACGTGAGTTTTTGCTAAAATGTGAAAGAAATGGCCGAGAATGAACTGGAGATATCTCAATCAAATGATATTTTTCAATTCGTAATCCAATATGAGTTTCGCGAACCAACTATGATTGTTAGATTTCAAGTGAATGAGAAATTGAAAGATGCACAAACTCAAGGCAAGAGTAACTACATCTACTCAACCATAAACAAAGCATAGAAACCTGAAATGAAGGTGGGGTGAAAATAGTGTAGGTGATATTTGAACTATACCTCCATAAGTATCAGTAAAGTGTGCAAATACCCTGGAATGCTTCCACAATTAGCCGGGTGTCCCCCCAACATGCCCACCGCGAGGCGAAGCAAGAGACGCAGACGCGGCAAAGGGACGAGTCGCAGCGCATACTGTAGCGGTTTGGCGTCAGGTTAAAAAAAAAGTGTGCCATACTACGTCTCATATCGCACAGCACGCGCTGCAACTCGTCTCTTTGCCGCACCTGCGTCTCTTGCTTCGCCGCGCGGTGCGCCTGTTGGGGGACACCCCAATTAGCCCTGCAAAGAAAACAGTGCTCAACCAAGGGGATGGACATTCTTGCCTAGGCCTAGGGGAACGATCTCCAAGGTGAATGACCAGCTTGAAAAATTAGGTGGGAGGTGGCCAGGCTGTGTGGGATGTAGAATTCTCACCATTATTAAATGAAGAGCTTCGAATGAGTTGTTTACGTACTATCCCATCAATGGTGTTAGAGAGATCATAAGGGTACTGCTCTGCACTGAGGATAAGATATAAGGAGCGCCTTCTCAAACTCCATTTCCCCCCCCCCCCAAATGGTAGAGTCGCCTATTTTTGATGAATGATTCCAGCGAGGCTGAAACAGAGGAAGAGGATGAATGTATCTTACTGCCAGTACGTACTAAAATTTCATGACTACAAACCGCAAGAACAATCTGCTGTAGTAGAGGTGTCTATTGGGTTGACCCATAATTTCTGGCCGGATTCCAACACTTTGATTTATTCAAGTTTTATCTCTCCTAAAGAACAAGTGATCAAAAACATTACCAACATCATTATCACTGATATGCACCCATTTTCCATGGAACGAATGGATGCATTCCTCCCAGAACGAGAGAAGCTGTGAGATGAAAAGCCCAAAGAGGTCGTTTTGGGGTGGTTGTACTTACTGGCTTTTTCTTCTCCCAGCTGCTGCTTCAGGGGGCTGAGGAGGTGACAGTAGGGAGCAACGTAAGGTCTATACGATAGATGTCGCGTCGTGGTCCAGCCAGTTTCTCTCGAAACGTGGCGAGTTATTCCTGCAGTATGAGTTCGGGCGGTCCCCCGGATAAAGGAGGTTTTGAGACTTTCAACCGTTCTCCCGCACTGTTGCATGCAACTTTGGAAGCTATTCCATGGTTACCTTCGCAATGCTTGTCTGCATCACGTGAAATGGTTTTCGAAACGGGATACCCAGCGAATCCAACAAAGCGGGGGTCACACTCTCTGATGAAACAGTTCGGGTTTTGGTTGGTGTGCTGCGTCCAGGTTGCGAGGTAGCCATCGGGCGAGCCCGTGTTGTTATCGTGGGGAGCTCATGACATCTGCACTGGTGGCAAACCAGGGAATATGTTGTCTATACGGTTGCAGAATGAAATTTCTTCAGATGGTCAGGTGTGCATGTCGTTCATGGTCGGTCCATGCATGTTGTTTTCATCGAGCCTTCATTCCGCTACAGTCCATTCCATTCAGGTGTCGACCCATGGAGCGTAGGCTGCGCCCAGATGTTTGCTACAGTTTCCTGCTAGTAGCGTCCGGATGCACTTCCTATTCTTAGCGCAAGCGGTCCTTATCGAAAGTGATTGAGGGTCCGTGATGAGGTCGAACTTTGCAGCTCCTATCGCCTTTGCGTATGCTATTGGGCCAATACCTCGGTGCCCGATCAGTAGCAAAGACTGGGGCAAACGTAGCGCTGATCTTGCCTACCGCGCTCCCTGCAAGGTTCTTCTCAAAAATGTCGCAAGGCAAAATCGTTGGGTTTGGTTGTTTATCTATTTTGACTCCTACTTAATTATCTCTTTGCGCACTTAACCTTCTGGATCGTCCTGGTTGAAGGCCCTGATGTGTTCTTCAACATATTAACTTGTTTCATCATAAAGCTCATATGACATGAAGAAAATTGAGTTTAAACCAAAATCGGCCATAAATTATGGATCAACCCATATAATAAAGTAAGTTTCACTGGTGATAAGCCGAATCACTCCTATCTGTATGTAAATGTACAGCAAGATTGACCGTAGTAAAAATAGATGGTGAATATATATTACAAATTGGCACCAAGTGGCGCAAAATGGCGCCACCGCCAAAAAAGAACCCCTGTATTCGTTACCAGGCCAACGAGCTATCCTTGAAGTTTCGACGATTTCTTCAAGATTTTCTTTCGGTAATAATTGTGCTCTTAAAGAAGCGGTGACGAGTGATGAGCAAACCGTTGTATGGCAAGCAGAAAAGAAGGTGAAGAATTGATAAAAAGTGATTGAATAAAAAATGACAACAGAACTAAATACCTTTGCTGGATGTAATTTGATGCCATAGAAATCACATCGACGCGCCACTTCGAGCATTGCAAAGTCGCTTTCACCAGGGCTCATTCCCCTGGAAAAAGTACTCTAGTAAATGTAAACAGATTAACTGAGCATATAATGTTGTTTTGTATTTTTTAATGAAGGTCCGCCGCACATCTATTTCCCTTGGTGGAATTCGTTCTTTCTTCAATAGTCATACTTCAGCGTTCGTCATGGAACTGTCAGATTCTTATTCTTGCTTGCAGCGTGTTATCATGTACATACATTGCTGTCAGTAATGGCAGTCCTTTCTGTACGCACTTTCCATACTAACATCTGTTTCGGAACGCTTATTCAATAGACCGTAATAATTGAATGTCGTTTTTGAATGAGTCAACTTTTGGACGACTCAACCCTGAACATTCGAAGGGATCAACCGTAGTTATGAATTTGATGGAACATTATCTACCAACTGGATCGAACACCGAACACAGAATTTAATTGTCGTAGAACATGCATAAAAGGGTAGCGTAGAGCCCGAGTAGAGGTCCTTTATCCTGGCGCATTCACTTGGAAGTAGTGTTGTGGGCTCGAAAATTTAGGAGCCGTGTGCGGAGGAATGGAATACAGACTGTTTTTACTGTCAAAAATTGCCCTTCCCCAGAACTAACAGGCTCTTGGTAAACTGGAGGGTAGGAGGTGAATGATTTTGGAGCCCGGCGCCGTACTAACCAGGAAAGGTCGTTAGGCCAATCCCGTCAAATGGAATGGGGTGCACAGTTCTGTACGCAATATGAGACGCCAAGCTCAAATCTGTCTTTTTTACCTGCTGAACTTTTCTCTGAAAGGAGTTACGGAGAATTTTTGTTGCCGCCCTTGATTTTCAGTTTGCCTGTAATCACATGTTAGCTCCATTGTAAAAGTCACGAAATAAGAACCGAGCAACGTGGTGAAGTATAGCAATTGGTAGCAGTCTTGCTTCTCAAGCGTGGTGTTGAGAGTTCGGTTCCTTTCGGAGCTCGGTGTCTTGCTTTTTTCAACGTTTCTGAGGAGCCTTTTTCCGTTATTTCACCAACGGTCACCCTAGGTTACATCTACGAAGAGTTTGCAAGCAGATCCTCTCAAGTTTAAGCACTATTTGTCTGTGAGTGCCCATGGTGCCCGTAGTGCAGGTGCTATGCTTTTCCGTGGCAAGTAGGTACGATATTTGTATTCAGGGGATCAAACAACCCCTACAGCGAGTTTTCGCTAAACCGAGGTCATGACCTAATCGAGAAAAAGCGGAGCAAAGATGGGATTACCACGTTTTTAGGAAGAAAATTTAGGAAACTCCCTGGGAGGCATTCTAAAACCAAGTTTTAGAATGCCTCCCAGGGAGTTTCCTGAGTACTAAGGTGCCCCTCATGAGAGTTACATCACTGTTGTTATCAATTATAGTCACCACTCCCACAAAATGACAGTTCGCCAAGGGTCTAAGAATTATTGAAAGAGACCGAGTGGGACAGTATGGAAAGGACGGCAACGCATTGCCGAAAGGGCTTTTTTGCAGTGAATTTTGAGAGCAACAGAAATCGTACGGTTCACAATTTTGTTAACCCATTGCGGACCGCCGTTATAATTGCACCTCCGTAGGTTTTTGTTAAGTATTTTATCAGTGGCCGATAACCTATCGAAAATTTAATCAGTATACAAATATATGATATATCCAGTGTCCAAAAAAGTATACTGATGAGTTTGTGACTTAAAAAAACGCCGAAAAAATCCGAAGTTGCTATGCTTGTCCGCGTGGTGACGTGCTGCACATGGTGCAGCACGTGGTCCGCAATGGGTTAAATCCCTCTCTCTTTCGTGGACTTCCAGATCTGGAGATGTTGTAGTAGAGGTACAACGGTGAAGCGGTTAAAATGGACACTTGCGGGCGGTTGGTAAGTGAACTCGAATTTTTTCGACACCTGGCTTGTGCAACCTAGGACTCTACAGCCTATCTGTCTTCTTTGTCAGAATAAACGTCAAAAACAGAGAGAGGAAGATGCTTCAAGAGGAACTTCAAAGGAGAAATGGCAGTCAATCAACCTAATAGTAGCGTTTGTGGTGTGTTCCAAAGAGATCCAAAGTGACACAATGCCAAAAGTGGCGAAATAACCAGGATGAGAATTGAACAAAAATTCACCGATTCCGATTTCTATTTTTGTGAGCGGAGGCATTTTGATTATTCCAAGCTAATCTTTTTGGGTGAGTATGACGTTATGGGCTTCCTCACGTAACCGGTGGTTCAAAAATTTTGGGGACAACCTGCATGAGAAAAGTCCTCCATAAAACAAAGGGAAACAGATACAATGATCAATATGACTTCCATTCGAAAACCAATCTTATGCCTTATGCCTTTTGAGTTTTGTGAATGTCAAATCTAAATTTGGAGCTGCGACGATGCTCAAAGGAACTAGGTTCCAATTTGAAGAGAGAGCCCCTATCGTTGGCTTATAGATGAAGCGCCCAAAGCTGTTAAAAGCGCTAAACTTCCATGTCAAACAAGCGCTAAACCTCCATGTCAAACACTTAAAAACCACCTCCCGTCCCTAAAAATCTGTTTGACTATCCTTTCTTCTCGCTCACAAAAGCTCAAACACCGGCTAGACGAAGAAAGGGAAGAGTAGTGCTATAAGCGTTCATCGCTAGTGAAATAAGCTCAGCTTGCCCGCATAAAATCGTGCCGCATTTAGCGCGATGGCATCATTCAGGCTGCCCTTGGTGAGTGCTTCAAGCCCCAACTTTTCAATTGTTCCCTTGAAACTACGTTGCGCCTTGATGTCCGTCAGACGACGTATTCCAGTCCAAGCTTACTTTAGCCCTTTGATCGTGACGAGTGGGCACCCGCCACTACTCTTCCTCCGTTTGAAATTTTTTCCATATGCGACATCATCGTCGGCTTCGGCGTAAAGCGCGCAAAAATCGATGCTGGAACAACTGCTATTATGTTGAATGAGGACCCCGCCATATATTTTTTTCTGCTCACCGGACAACCACGTGAGCCTTGTTCCGTTCGGCAACGAACAGATTCGCAGCAGCGCCACCACGAATGCATTCCAGCCGGGTCCATGCGGTCGCTACATCACATAACATCTTCAACTCAAAAGCGATGCATAATCCAATTAGTGGTGTAATGAGCACTGCTCCGTTTCATTGAAGGAAAAATATAGGACTTTTGGCGTGTCGAAGAACACAGATGACCAAGGAAGAACTAATAAAAAAGTGACGGGAAGATTTTGGGAGCGCAAAGCACTTTTTCTTTCTAGGAAACAGATTTCATCTACACGCAGTGAATGCAGATCAAAAATTCTTCAAAAGTCGTAGCCAAGAAACTAATTCTACGATTCTGGTGAACTCTCCATGAAACTTCGAAGCCAATGACTCGTAGAACGGAGAAGGCCACCTTTTGGTACTCGAGAACAACACAGAGTGAGCTGCTTTTCCTGAGCTTTGATTTTTTTAATTTTAGTATCGTTTCGAGGTAGTGGGCCAGCCTGTATGCTTTGGTTTCTAAAAACCATGCATTCTACTTGTGAGAAGGATGGATACACACGGTGTTTTGCATAGGCCACTTCAGTCAATTTGCGCGTTAAAGCGAATGTGGTTAAGATCTGTCGACGTAAGCAAACCAGCCCTTTTGGCGCTTCGGCTGGGACCGTATGCTGAATGTTGGGGAGGGGATGGAGTCCCCAATGGTCGACGGTTTACTTCAACTCGGTCCTTGGAACCGCCATAATTTGGTGCTTACCTCAGAACTAAGCCTTAAAGAGGGGACGGGTCCCTCCCCTCTCCAAGACTTAGTCCAGGGTGAGCAAACAGCCCTGCCAGCTGCAGCACTTGCGTCAGTACTCTCCTATTGTACCAACGGAGTTGAAGTAAACCGTCGACCATTGGGGACCCCATCCCCTCCCCAACATTCACCACACGGTCCCAGCCGAAACGCCAAAAGGGCTGGTTTGCTTACCTCAGATCTGTCCACTGGCTTGTTGTGAGTGATAGCATAGTTGTGCCATTGCCTTCACACTTCAAACCCCTGAACCATCAAACATAACGTTTAAGGATTCTTCAAAAGTGAGAACGGAGCTCAACAGAGAAATAGTCAAGCCGGCATAATCCTGATTTAACCCGCAGTCTGGCGACTGGTCCCTCCAAAACTAATGTCAGTCGTCAATTGATGACACATTCGATGAGGACTTCTGACAGATGTTAAGACGTTCAATCGCAATTTAACACCACAACTTGCACAAGACGATTTCAACGAACAATAACCACGCAACACAGGACCTGTAGAATGTACGGGATGCACCTGTCAAGAACTTTGTTGGAAAAAGCTTACGCATACAATTTTCGAAACATAGTCAATCGAACTAGGGAAACTCTTTTAAAAGACTCACACTAGATTTTTATGATTTTCCATGACTTTCTGTTGAAATTCAATAGTCTGGTGAGGAATGAAACGTGAATGTGAGAGATACGTGGCATCTGGATAGTCTTCAGCGGAGAAATCGCCACATTCAGACTAAAATATGAAATATCACGATGTATCACTGGTTACTCCGTTCACCGAGAGTAATATCTCGTAAATGATGCATGTCAGACACCTGCACGAGATATGCAGCCAACAAGGCAGCTGTTGTTTCGGCACAATGCAATTCACCCATTGACAAGTCACGTCGAATTTGAAGCGTTAACAAGTACCTGGAAAATAGGTGAAACACTTAAATATTATGATAGAGCCCGAATTGTTGACTCTAAAATATCAAAGGTTCCCATGGCCACACTTCGTGGAGTTTCTGAATTTCAGTACTGAGGAAGGGGCACCACAGCGTAGAGCGCCCAATGCATTTCAATGAACGCGTTGTGATCAGAGTCCTTTGAAGTCCGGAATGCTGGTACTTTTCTTCCTGAGTCACTTCTTGAATTTTTGGGCTCCTCTACGGTATTTATATATAGTACACATATATTATAAAAATAGAAATGAATACATACTATAAAAAAAAACTTTTGCGGCATAAAATAGCAAAGGAGTTCATGGAAGGGCCGCTGAGGGTCTTCTTATTTGTCGATGACATCGCCCTGATAGAGATATCAGGGAAGAACTCCAGGAGAACAAGCAAAAATGGCAGGAAGCGCTGACGGAGAATGGAGGCCAGCTAAACTCGAAGAAGGCAAAACTTCCACGTTTCGAAGAGAGCACAGAGCTATATCAACCGCGGAATTGTAAATTTCCGAGTGCAACACTGCCGTGGAGAACTCCAGATCCTGGTCATGACCTATCCGCTGACGGTAAGGCTCAAGTTAATGCGTAGAGAGCCGTCTAGTATCCAATGTCGTCGCCGGCGCTCCAGCACTCAAGTACTGTGTGGTGGTACAGCGATGGCCTACGGGCAGCGAGCGCTGGCCCCGTAGCACGAACTGTGAGAGAAAGCTACACTACCAACTGAGGATGCTCGTGGGCTGTGGCAGACGTGACTGGGTCAGAAACTAGAATGCAGGCGGTCACCTGAACAGCTCCTGTTCAGCTAAAGGCGCAGGTGCATCGACTATGCTGGTGAACACGAGCAGAGAGGGACAGGATCATCCGGTGAGGAAACTAATGGACTTAGAGACCTGAGGAAAGCGACCACTGAGATCTCTAAAGAGAGAGGAACAGCGGTCAGTGCTGCACAGCTGAATTAACGCCAGGAGAGAAAAGGTAGCAATTTTCCGGTACATAGACCCAAAATCTCAGAATGCATTTTCCGTTAATCAGCAATCATCAAGAGTTTGACGTAATTATAGTGTTTCGAAAGCGAAAGCCACAAAATGAAAGTTGTCTCGTACCGCGTGTACTCCTCTTCAAGATCGATCGGATTCGGTGTATAGAACTTTACAATGAAATAGAATTTTGCATCAGTACTATGTGAGCTGATTTGTCGTAAGATCGGCTTGTCTGCATCCAACCAGCACTGAAAACGACAGCGTTTCATGACTTTGATAATGCTACTGCTCCTCTCTCAAACATTCGCTGATGTTCATACACTAGCGCTTTGCGGCAAGCTTGCTTCAGGCAGCATACCCCTTTTTTACAGAAACATGTTCCAAGATTCCAGGGTTTCACTTTCACCTCTAGTTCTCCTCCTCTCATCACCCTCCTCCTCTAAGGGCTAGGATCGGGTTCAGGCTTACTGAAGAAGATCCTAGTTCCAGTGGACACAGGTGCATGGCACGCTACTGCAGTGGTCGCCCCATTTTCGCTCCTAGAGACTCCTCGTAAGACGCTAGGCCCTTGGGGCGTGGGTCCTACCACGCTCAGAAGGATCCCTGTCCTTGTCTGTCGTAATGTTGAACTGTTTCCTCGACTCGCAGTTCATTTCCCTAACTGCGACTCACATTATTTTCGCAGAGTGCTTCCTAGACTTCTCCACAGCGTAGAACGAAAAGACTCGTTCCCTGTGTTTTTATCGATTTCTTTGCCTTTTTTCTTCACTTGGGGCCCATTCGCATGGCACCATAATATTCGAGTGGGATCACCATATTAACTTGATCCTTATCCTTACGTTGGAGTTGGACTATCATCATCTCACAATTCATAAATAAGGCGTCCCGAAGAAAATTAACAACAAGAAGGACGGGAGTTACCCACCCATTCGAGAGAGAAAGCATTACATACGTTCATTCAAAACCTAGATGAAACGGAGTAATGGGAGAGGTTATTCTGAGAGGTGCCCAGTGGCGGGCCCTGAACAGGGAAAGCCCGACTGGTATCTTTTTCATCTAAATGTCAACTCGGTTGTTCTCTACATACCAAGGAATTGTAGGAGTGTTGCCAAATGATGTAACGACCGTGCTTATTACATCCTATTCCTGTTCCTTGTCTGGGAAAAACGTGAGAATTCATGCCAATACGACTACACGGGTAGAGGGTTCCTCCATCACCCGTAAAATAGGACAACCTTTCAATTCCACCCTCAACTCTACTACTTTCCGAACCTCTGAAAAGAGCCATGATCCCAGCAATTGAAGTGGTCATCAATTCAGAAGCGCATCGGCAATCCTGTGAATAGCAGTCGACGACTTATTTCCACACATGCGCGTAAGCACTATTCACATAAACAACATTCCAAAGGAAGAAATTGACTAGCGACTTTGAACAGCGATAATCGAGAGAGGGAGGAGAGGAGCGAGAACGAATGCGCTCCAGCCCTTTGCGAAATCGAATCAGCTCAGGGAAAAGCGTGTTAAATGACGGAGAAACGTTCACTCACATGGCATCCCGAGTTATCAATGCACTCCAAACCGAAGTAGTCGTTCTCGAGCAGATTCAAATGGCGTGCCACCTCGTCCAGTAACGTTTGACCGAGTGCTTTGTGCTGCCAAACAATAAGGTTAAGTACAAGCTAACTTCGCCGTTTTAGTACCTCTAATAATACTTCAGGAGACGACGTTAAATTAATGTCTTAAATATTTAAGCAAAAACTCAGGAACGAATCGATATTTCCAACGTTTTCAACTTAGCGGCTGACCTTTGTTGTTAAGCGCGCTTGCTGAGCCCAAACCTTAGATTAAGTGATTAGTCCTTATCCATGTAAAAGCCGATTTAATTCCCATTTTCAAAAATTACGCTCCGCTTGCAGTAATTTTCTTAATGACCAGGGCGTGAACTGGGAAACGACTACGACTACGACTTTAGCAAGCTGTAGTAGCCAGCGTTTCATCATTCAGCTGTGAATTAGAAAGAAAAATTCGGCTCTATGGGCTACCTTTGCTCATGCCAAACTTGATCCACCCATTGTAGACGAATCTTGTAGTAATATTTGGAAATTCTGCTTTGGGTATGTAAGGAGTCATATGGTAGAGCTTGCGTTTCAAATCCTTCATACTTCTACAGTTTTTGACAATGTCTGAGCTTACTTGGATGCGAGTTATCGGGGCTTAGAATTAATTGGAATAACTCATCAAAAAATTCCAGTTTCTAGCCTGTTCCGAAGTGTCACTTGTCCTGCTGGTGCTCTGAGCAGTAAATTGATATCCAGACTGGCGATTGACTGATCAGTGGCGTATAAACAGCTTTTGCTGTCGGCCGCCATTGATCGCTCAAAACCGTTATTTTCGTCGTGGGAGCCGAACAGCAAAAGCAAGCTGTACAAGCAAAAGGCCAGAGTAAACTGGTACGAATGCCGATAGAGAAAAAGTGGCAGAATTACGATTACGCTAGAGATTGGCGCAAATCTTGGGGGAGTCAAAAAATCACCTACCCCAAGATGAAACACGGCCACACTGTCGTCCAACATTCTGACTTTGATACAGACAAGTCGTCCACGTTTCGCGTCCATACCAGGAGGTGGCGGGCCTCCCACACCGAGCGGAATACCCGACATTTCCGCTCTGAAACTAGAAATTATCATCAAAAAGAACAGTGCAGTAGCGGGAATTTACCATTCCAACAACATTTCACATGCACTTGTATGTAAGAGGCAGCAGAGGCGCAGAAGCTTCTCACGTGGTCATTAAAAGCCGTCCGTTATTTTAAATCATCATATCCGTAGGAACAAAGTGATCTAGGTTGCAAACGAAGGGAAAGCTGGAAATTCTACGGCACGGCTTATAGAGTATAAATAGCTGAATAAAGGGAGCGCTATGCAGTTCTCTAAAATGCGGAGGAAATGTGCTTTGGAGTAGATTTCAGTGATAAACGGGAACGCTGAACGGCGAAAGAACACACCGAAATGTCAGACAAAGGAGGCAGGATATCTCAGCTATTACAATGATTGCCAAAAGTTGGAATCAACCGAGAGAATTGGTGAAGATTCTTTGGTGTACATACATCACCTTCTGTGCCGCTGATACGTGGTGTTACTGTGTGGTGGGGAAATCTGGAAAACATCTCGGGAAATTTTTCGTTATTTGATGAAGCCACTGATAAGATATGCAATTGAAGTCGACACGATTGAAGGGAAGCGGTGATGTTGAAGAGGCGCAATAGGGAGCGGATGAGAGTGAGGGAAGTGAGAGGGAACAATTGGCAAAGTCCGCAGCAGTGTGCAGGCTGCCGCCCACATGCCAGATGGCCAAAACATAGCTGGAGGAGGAAACTCGACGGCGACGACAACGTCGACGACAACGACGATGACGGCGGCAGCGACGACCGACGAGGCTATGATGAGCGATAAACGTCTGAATTGTACTCGTCACCGTCTCGTCTCGTCGCTGCCGCCTTGCTGCACATTCAACGCTCTCACTCGAAATGAAAAACGGTCATTGAAATCGCTATCAACCTGCCAGCTGCTCGAGAGAATCTCACCAAAGTTCAGCGTTCTAATCTTCTGCCTAGCCGGAGCCCAGAAAAAAAGGTCTACTGGTTTCCAGATTCTAGCTTCAACAGAGCAAAATCTCAAAATTTCCCATTATAACCTTGTCCTAAATTGGCCAAATAAAGGTAATAGACAGAGTAATCAGCTTTGATCCCTTCGAAATTTTTCACACATTCCAATTCATTTTAATATCTTCGAATCGAATAAGCTACCCAAAGCTTCGTAGTAATTTAATTCAGTGTGTGAGCTATTTCATAAGAAAATCTAATTTAAGTGACCATAACAGAATGCTGGGTAGATGTGCTCGTGTGGAATTTGATCCCCTGGGTGGTGTAGGTTGCTGACGGCCCTCTTGCTGCTGCATCATTCGGAAATCCATATGAATTTTAGGGTGTTCAAAGCGCCCCTATGATTTATGGCTTGCTATGGGGTGAAGCTAGGTGAGACCTTACACTGAGATCACATCCCTTTTTGGTGAAAGATATCGCGTCAGCTTTTTGAAGAACAAAATAAAGGGAAGAAAGACAAGCATACGTGAAGAGAATTCCAGTTATCTTAGCTCTTGACTCGGCTATTATGCACATTAAGAACTAGCTGGGTACTCGGTTGTTGACAACTGGAGGACCAATAATCACATTCCCATACTCGGGACGTTTTCTGTCCTCCTCACATTCTATTGTGACTTATAATACTTTTCAATAATTAAGCCGACAAGGAATATTTTAATGCTGTTCTACTGCAGCTCTACTCGGCCCAGAAACATTGTTGAATGGATAACTCCGGGGTTTTCAGAGCACTTCCAGGACAAACGAAAATTTGAATCGTTGGGAAGATGGCTTCACGGCTACAGCACTGTCTTTGAAGAGCAATCTCGTACGAATGTTTCGAAGCCGAAAACCCCGAAATGCTCAGAGGGTTACTTAAGTGAACTATTGGTCTTGTAAGGATCCGCAGAATCAGTTGTGGCTTTACTTCCGGTAGTTCTTTTCCATTTTCTCTAGCTTCCTCTCCCACTACGTACAAGAAGATTACCTGAAGGCTGCTGAACATGAAAATATGTACCAGTTCCTCTACTGAGGAGCATAGCGCTTGAAATAAGCAGGAAAATAACTTGGGAAACTACTATATGATTATGGATGGGCTAAGAACAAAAGCCCTCAGAAACTACTGAATAACCTAATCAGAGAACAAAGCAAGTAAGCACAAAGTTACGGACCTGTTCCCTACAAGCTCTCAGTTGATATCTCTAGGTTTTTTTTTCTCAAAGATACCCCGCGATGTTACCCTCAGCGTTCTTTTATTATAGAAGTGAGGACAAGATTATGTAAATGGATTGGCGGGAGTTTGGCATTTCTGCTATAGCACGGTTCGCGTACGCCCACTATATGAATCATATGCAACATCAAATCCCACAAATTCTGTTCAGCAAATCCACCCCTCCAACTATCGAATATCGTAGTTGATTAGGGAGGGAACAATGCTAGGTTGATTGCAAAAGATAAGCGGCGCCCCAATCTCTAGTGGCGTCTTGAGGAGTCTGATTTAAAATAAGTTCGCGATCAACTCTCAGGAGGTTCCTTGAAAAAGTGGTCCCATTGGTTCCCATTTCTACCACAGTGGAGTGATAGGTGAACCAATAAGGTCAACAATCCTAATAGTCAGCTTCGCAGTTCTATAACATCTGCGATCCTGCCGACTTTTCAGGTTGAAATAGTGTTCGGACGGGTAATTTCTTGAATTTTTCCGTCCTTGCAGACTCTGAAGAACACGTGATGCCGATACTTCATCCGAAGGTTTGCTTCAAAACATGCCCTTCGTACGAAAGCGCAGACGGCCAACGTTGTTGCTCGTCAGCAATGACGCTCCAAAACATTTTGCTGCTAATACTGAATCGTTGACCTCACAAGGGTAAACAAAATGCTGTACCTGAACATTGCGATTCGAGAGAAGAAATCAAAGCACATTCCTTCGAAGTACTTTGAAAGTACAACCTTACCGCATATTAGAACTGTCTAAATATGGGTTCACGCACACTCTGCAAGAAATGCTCGACCAGAGTTCTCATTTGCAAAAAATTACTGATTGCAAATACTTGGTATGGAATATCAGCACTCTAGCAAGCAATGCACAACGTGTTTCGGAAAACCGCCTTCCAAGACTAAATGCAAAGCTTATTTTAAGGTTGACGGTGGTTAGAATTATAAGGATTCGGACCCTTTGCCATTATTGCTTAATCCGGGCCAACTGGAGATGTTAGAAACAAAATTCGGAAAGAACGAGGGGCGGGGATTTATGGCAATATTGCGCGGCCAACAAAAATCCCACCTTTGCACTAACAGTCTGCTGAAAAATGCTGCGAACTTTATCACTACGGCATTTCTTCAATTGTTTATAATATACGGCATTTGGTAATGAATGGAGCGGAGAAGCCATTCAAATAACAGGCGAGGATTTTTGGAGAGGTTCAGTGATTGGTGGATAATTTTTTCCCATGGAAGGAGGGTTTCCCCATTCTTGCGGAAAAGTGCTCACCGCTCAGGAAAAGGTCATTTCCCTCCCTAGTGCTCAAAGAAAAACCCTGCCTCAGCCTGCTGCACAGAAAAGAAATCTCAACTCCTCAATCAGAGTTGTTCAACACTAATGTTTGTCTTTCAGCTCAAGTCTTGATGAGATATGGTTTCTCGAATTACATGGCAGAATTGAAGATCGTGCAGAAAAAATAAGTAGGGGCGTGAATGCGATAAGAAACAGAGATGGAGAAATGATTTTATTTTCTACCACACGGTCGAAATTGTTTTCCTATGGAATACAAACATCCCTTTTTAGTGGAAACGTTGATTGTGACAGACTGTAACAATCGAAGACATCAGTTTTGTGCAAAAATGCGAAAACAATTTTCTCTAAGCCAATAATAAAACAAACTCACCGTGCATGTGCGTAGTCAAGCCTCGCCATGGCTAATGTGGCTCCCTCATTCTGAAACACAGCATTTCAATTTTGAATTTTTTCCAAGCACAAGTTAAACGACCAAGACATGAAGTTATCATGAGACCACAAGCATGAGAATGCGACGGATACAAAAACTCTTCATGCTAGAGCGATTTCCTTCCATAGCTTTATTTGCTTTTCTATTTGTCACTTTCCAAACAAGGACAGCATGGAACTAAACGCTTTCAAAGTGAGTTATGATTGCATCAATGCCAAATGTTTGCTAGGAATACAGCGAATAATCCAACGAAAATATGAAATAACGAAGAATCCCATAATAGCAGCCTAGAAGGTTAAGGCAACGCTCTACACCATCACGCCCTCTGTGATCAACCCCTTCTCACACCAAAGTGGTCCACCCCCTTGCTAATTCAAATCCACAAAACAAGGTAATGCATCAGGTAGAACACATGATGATTTTGTCCATCGAGGCAGGGTGGGCGTTCCGTGGGACGCTGACAATACCGAATTTAGATCTTCAAAAATTTTCACGTTCCTCAACAGCGTGTGCGCTTCTTTTGATTAGCAATGCAAGAATTGAAAATAGAAGTAAGGTGCTTTTCAAAAAGGAAAGCGTTCTGCTACAACGCTATGGTTCTTTGAGCTTTGGAATGCATCCGTTCTGATAGACCATTTGTGTTCAGATTTCTTCTACGAAACCTCTTTGTATGAAAATTTCGCCTTTATTGACGTCCTTCCGTGTTGAGCTTCCAGGACCAGAGAAAAAGAACCAGGTTGTACCCTAGTATAAGTGTGTGTTTTGCTGTGGTTAGAGCATCTACTAAATGAGATAAATTGGTAGCTGTTTTTGAGTGTGGTCAAAAGGTTGTTGAGAGCACCAATCTTCTGCGTTCTTATGTATATGGTGGACTACTAAGCATCTGTGTTCGCTGCGTTGCAGTCCCCACGTCATGCAATTAATTCTTGGCAACTTTCCAATACGTCCGCGGCTTGCAACCAAAAGACTCATAGAACACCGGTTCCGCTCGGTATTTTTCGTGGAAAACCTTCCACAACTGTTGACTTCCGAATAAGGAGATCCAGAGCCATATTTCGCGGAATTAGAAGTGATTTCCAGTTTATACTAATATCAAGCCTTCGTCTCAAAATTACCTCGGTTTCAACATATGCCTTCACTTGGTTACAATAGATAGATACCGTGGCAATTAAGTCAGCAGTAAGCCATGTGCATGGTAATAAACCATGAAATGGATAACGGGTTTCTCGTGGGTGACTGCTCCTAGTTACTGCTGGAAAGGGTCTATCCACATTCCTTTCGGACAGATTAAATAACAGCACTGAAACCCTCGAAGTGGGCGCTCGGATGGGGGCGGGACTACGGATCACGTAGTTTGAGAAAATCAGGAGACAAGCTAATTCTCTTTCCTAGAAAAGTATTTGAAAGACCTCCCTCACCCACTCCTTTATTAGTCCCACCTACGGTGCACTAGCACCTGAAACGAGAGAAATTGCGAAGTTTTTTTTTATTAATGTTGGTTCAAATTCTTGCACTTTTTTCATTCACATTCCAGATTACTCTTTTCTTCTATGCTAAAAACTTTAGCTTTATTCACCGTTTATTCCGTCCTATTGCTTCATTTATTGATTATTTCTAACGGTGCTGCTGTCATTCAAAAGCACACAATCTCTGAGCATTTATTACAAACACGCATTTGCTCCATTGTGGAACTTACCCAAGAGCAAAAAGATTATTTATGTCATGAGTATATCTTATGAATAAACCGAAAGTTGCTGAACCTAACAAGTGAATCGATAAAACATAAGATGGAGGCTTAGAACTGCCTAGGCAGAACTCGCCGCGTATGAATCCGGCAACTAAGACTTGTGTCACAAGCAGAGCTGACCGACTGTAAATAATAGACCGAGAAGCCGTTTTGAAAGAGCAGCCTCTCTGATCACGTGTAAGCTCTACAGTGGAAAAAATGTACAAATGTCATACACAAAAATGCTCGGAAGATTGTGAGCTTTAGAATGTCATGAAAACTATCAGAGATAGTCAATAAAATTGAAAAAATCACAGGCGAAATAAACCGGCGGGTAATTTGAATCGACCCAATACAATGTACATGACACCAAATACAACCCCTCTCCTAAGACAGTTGACTATATGTTAAGCTCTCTGATTTTCGCGTTGCTTCGTGTGGAGGTACAGCGGAAGAAATATTGGAAAACCAGAATGTTCCTCTCGCCGGTTGTTTTTGCAATTACAGGCAAACTCCCCCATAGGTTGAGGAGGAACGACAAGTTTCCACACAAATTGAGAATACATCTTCCTTCATGGTTAGCAATTTCGATAATGTTATGCTATTCCAATCTAAATCGATTTACCGACACCGACTCTAATGAATGATTCGTGAACTAGTCCGAGAGAAAAAAGCTTTCTTAGCGTACTAAAGAGCTTTTTCCGAAGAAAAACCAACTGAGAAGCTCCACAAACGAAAGAATATTTAAATTAAGTTCGCGTTTCAGAAAGGTCAACATGGGTTTTGAAAAAGCAACAGAAAGCTTCCCCTTATAAATACGTTATTTCGCACCTGACACTAATCATTCATTTGGGCCATTTCCGAACATATCAAACCAATTTTCACAATAAGTCCCGTCGCAAGATAAGGGCGTTCGGAACAGCGGACAGCTGAGGTGAGTTCTGCTGCCGGGAAGTGACGAGGGCAGCTGAATGGTTGAGGGGGAATGGAGCGCGTGCGAGAGCGAGAGCGACACACACGAACCCCAATTAGAGCACCTGCAGGCATCGATTCCCCATGAATATCATATGCATTCTAAATATGTGTTACAGCACACTAACCTTTTTGCCCGAGACTCTTAAAGTGTCCCGCGACGAAGAAGCGAGCCCATAAGTGCAACGCAGCAATGGAAAGCTGTTATACAATGGAGGCCGCTCATCGGAAAACTTCAACTTCCACCTCTCGCTTGAGGAATTTCAGCCCCCTAAGAACCACTTTCTACTCTTTCATGAAACATTCCGAAGTACTCCAGTGCAAACATCAATAACATTAGCCGACAACACGCAAACCCTTGGTGTCCACGAGTTTCGGAAGTAGCTCAATCAAGCCGCCCTCGGGTGAAGGGCCAAATTTGTGGTTGCAAGAAGAGGACGCAGAAATAGTCTGTGGATGCTTCTCCATGGAGAGTGGCTTCCACTCAGTTTGATTGAATGCTGATTAAATGGGGAGTTTGATTGAATTCAACCGATTAGTGTGCTTTTAAGGCCTACACAATCTAAAAGAATTAGTTAGTTTTTCCCCAGCTCAATATTTCGACTTTTGTCTTGCCTGCTATTTTCTCCTACGTACCACCTTCTTTGCACAGTATGAGTGAAGTAGTAAATAAGGGCAAAACTATAGGCACCATCTAGGAATTGTATTCCTGCCAGTACGACACCTCAAAATAAGGGATAAAGGGCAGTGGGAAAACTGTTGAACAGAAGTTCTTCTCTATAGGATCGATTCCTAATAACAAGAAGTGACTCCCTTCCTTTTTGGCCGTCCACTTACAGATTTCATACTTGGTAAGGAAGGATGAAGAGCGATTTCAAGAGCCGGATACATTTCGTCCCTAAGCATTGCATAATCATTCTAAACGTTTTAATGAAAACTTCACCGCGGACGAGTTTGTCATGCCATGCACTCATCAATGGAGCGTAACGCACTAAAGAACCTAAACTCGTTACTGTGTAACGAGGTACTCGCAGCTCTACCCCCTCCCTCCCCCTCACGGGAGGGATAAATGATAAGGGCGGAAGTCGAGGAGGGAAATTATACCAGTCGAAGGCAGGCAGGTCTCCTAAGGGTGCGGGACGACACGCGTTTCGCAGAGAAGGGTATGCCCTTGCGGCCTAGTAAGGCCGTACCAGCATCGCCTGCGCTTGTGCATTCCCCCAATAGGCAACCCGTTGCTTCGCCGTTTGCTGGAGCCATTTGGCAGAGAGCGTTAGGGGGCAATACAAGTGAGAGTCCCATCAATGACAAGGGTGAACAGATCCGTCGATGGAAGTTGCACCAAACGGTAAAGAATGACCTAAAACGGAGAATAAGTTAGTCCCCCCCCCCCAGATCACGTGCCAATGCAGCGGACCTAGAACAACGCCGCTGGTATCACACTACGACGCTCCAAGGAGGAGGTTGTGTCTTTAGCACAAGACTCACAATTCTGCCTACTTCACACCTCTGTCTCGCGCCTCGACAGGCTTGCCTATGGATACTCTCACCTAATTAGTTGTGCTGCCTGGTGACCCTCACTTAACAATGTCAGCTGGATCCAAACAAATGAAGTTCATTGTAGGAGGCTAATAATATTAATAGTAATAACAAAAAATAGTGTACTTACATAGGGGAGCTTGCACCTGAAGACTTCGAGTAAAATAGATGGTAAATTAGAACCGACGATGCATTAGTTCTCATGAACCCGGACATTTCTTTCGCATCAACATCCATATGTGACAGAAAAGACGAGTGAAAATTTTTCAATAGAAAATTATGAATCGTAAAAAAGCGCACAGGTTAGCGTGAAATATACAATGTTCACATTTCATGCTCAGAACTTGTGGTTATTTATAAATAGAATACACTTCTTATTATCAAACCTCTGCGATAGTTGGCTTCACAATTGAAAGAAAAAGAATTCCCTTGTTACTCCGTTTTTTTTTCTGAATGCAGGGAAGTTTTCAGCTGAAAGTGTTGGTGCCTTGAGAGAGGCTGAGTGGACTGACTGTCTTTTTAATGGATTTGTGGTCCGATTTTTGTGAAAGACAATCTTTTAATCATCGAATTGTAATGGTTTTTTGAATTCAAGTTTTCGCAATTCTGTACCTTGCTTGAAATAAGTGTAAGAAGCAAGAGCTTAAATGGTTGTCAAGTTGTTCAGAAATTGACCCTTTTGGAGAATCCTCCTGTTGTTCCGTTTCTTTTTCTCGAGTTTTCTGTGCAATTTCCTTGCACTCGAGATTTCAACCCTCCGAGCGAAACGAATCGTTATAGTTGTTCGGTTTATAAGGTTTTAGCTTTCTTAATTCAAATGATAATAATTTTATTTGAAATCTTTCTCGTAAAACAAATGTGAGCGTTACAACAAGTTACGCTGCGCTTGATAAAAACTTTTGAAACTGATCTGCACAGTCACGAACTTAGATATCCCTCTTCCGAGGTTTTATTATGAGCCTCTAAAATGTCAATTCGACCAACTTAATGGATTTTCTTGCTTTTTGGTTTGGTCAGAAAACGAAGATGTTCTCTAGATATACAGCCCGTGAAAATTGCAATGTGAACAGCCCGCGGTAAATATTCCGCACTATTCTGATATGCACAACGCACTCATCCGTGGCTAAAGCGCCAGCATTTAAAAGTGGATTCCCCATCCGTGGGATGTGATAGGAAGCCATTCTGAGAACCGTGTCCTGCTGCAGGCCTAATTTGAACTGCGATTACAAGTTATATGCACTTAACAAACATACTCATGGACGAATTCCAAGGAACAGAGAAGGGTCTGAAAGTGGTGATATATTTTACTACGTTATCTTAATCACTTAGGTTTCCTAGCTTTCTCAGCATTTTACAGCTTCACCGTAGCCCTTGAAGATTGCCACGTTTTAATCTTTCGAGACATAACAAAAGCATAGAAGCAAGCGCTAATTTGAATGTCTCGAATTTGCATTAGAAATGTAAACATGCTCCCATCGCAATTATTTTGTTATTACTACAAATCTTGTTTTTATGAATTCTTTAATTTTCCGCTTCGCTTGGCATCGTTAAGAAAATGTCACAAGGCAGCTTAACCAATTAATTGTGGATATCCCACAGGCAAGCCTGCCGAGGTGCGAGGCAGAGGTGTGAAGTAGGCAGAAGTGGGAATGTTATACTAAAGTCCCTCCTCCCCAAGGAGGTACTGCACGAAACGCGAGATATCAGCGAAGACAAAGCAACGTGGCTTTGAAACGAAGAGCCCAATCGAGGAGCAGAAAAAGCATACATACAAGCGCCGGCAGAAGCCCGAATAATCTTGCTGCGTGCAAAATCTGCAACAGGGTTGTTGAAGCTGCCGTTGTCAAGGCAAAGAACACTGAGATAGACCTGCACGAAAAGCTGAAGAGCCAAGACGCGGATAATTTTGTCTGTCTAAGAGTATCATCGGTCTAGTCAGGTCACCACAGTGGGTAAGAGGATGAAAACCAGCGCTGGTACCTCTTAGGAGAGTTGTGATTAAGAGGACGTGGGAGTGTATTCAGAGCTCCAAAAAAAAACCCAAAGTAGAGCTAGCTCCTTGCTTTATATCTAGGTATCATTCCGTTACTGCTATTCCCTCTTTGGCGTTTGAAATATATGGTTCTAGTCCCACAAAAGCATTCAGTAGGGTTCAACACAAATCTCAGACCAACTCGAGAAAAGGTTATATTTATCCTAGTTGATTGCGATCTTTAATGCCTCTTTTGTGTACGTCTGGCTGTTCAATTTGGTGTGCCATGTCCATATGGGGCCTCTCAAGATGTTGAAATCACGAGGTCAGCGAGTATGAATCGAACGAAGAACTTCTCAAGAACAACCAGTACAATCGTTGTTGGACATGTGAGGAACGTCATATTCTCATGCCATGAGTATAAAATAAATAAGACTAAACAGATAGAAATAAGTACTTATTATAGGGGAATGGAGAGGATTGAAAAGGCACAATCTATGATGCTTGTTGTAACGTCGTCAGGGCCGAGTGATCCATAGTTTCTCGAGGAAGAAACAAAAAAACAAACATTTCTGAGTACAGTATCACATACATAAGTTGACCTGGTTGAAAATGAGGCTTCAAAAGAGAGAGGCAGTTGGGCAAGAGGGCGTTCAAGAAGAGTGTTCGTCGAGGGCGAAGCTATCCGGTTTCATTCCACAGACATTGTTGGCCCTCTGATATGCCATTTCTCATTCCTTTCCCTCCCTTCGCCTTCATAGGAACATTCGTTCATTTATAGCTGAATCCCGCCGGCAACACGAAGGTAAAACAATTGTTTCCGGAGGAGATAGTTCTGTCAATATTTCGGGAAGATGAGAGGGATTCACAAATTCTAAAAAGTCTATTTCCGCGATTTATCGAATTTTAAGCTAGGCGGCAATTCTGAAAACAAGGGAGAAGTTTTGAAGAAGTTACTTTGGAACTGAATAGTCTATGTGCTACAAAACTTGCCGAAACTCCCCTGCTTAATGTCATAGCGGCTTGCATGAGAAATGAGTAGTCAAAGGAATATGAGGTACAATATTAACGCAATAGAGGTCTCATCGTTAGAAACTTAAATCGGCATACAAGCCAGCAGTAAATCTCCCAAGAGACCCAAAGAACCCATTCCTAGACCCCGAAGAATCACCCTTCAGTCGATTTGCATCTTTAGAGTGGAAAATAATATAGAAAATGTCCTTTCCATCGTTTCCTTCGGAATGAAGCCGAGTCACGGTAGTGTTAATGTTGAAATTCATGATCATAGCTTGTCTATGAAGGACTAGCGCGAAATAAATAATTAACAATATTTGAAATAATCGACAGCCAAAAAGACGAAGGCTGAGACTATGTACTACGTGTAGTCAAGGGAACTTGTAACCATCAATCATATATAATCGTCATTTCAGGTTTTCGCCACATCAAAATCTACATCATAGCAGGACATTGTGGTTACGATTATATACCTGTTGTCGCTAATGAAAGGCGAAAGCCACCGGCGTCTACGGTACATACATGAGGGATTCGTTGGATAACAGGAGGC